GGCTTCCCTACTGGCTGCTTTTGTGGCAAACTTTTTACAGGAGATCTGTGTTTTAGCACGATTATCAATAAGCTGGTTCTCAATATTTAAGGAGTGCACTTAGATGTTAACTATGGCAACAAGTCAAAGATAGAACTGTTTGTGCTGTCAGCAGATTTAGCCTAGTTAAAAAGTCAGTTACATTTTCATTCTGTAAGTTTACCAGGTGAGTATTCACACCCTCATCCTGTATTAACAGTGCAGCTGCAGAGCAGATTGCAACTCTGTGTGTGTGTGCACGCGTGTGCACGCTCAGGGGAGAGTGCTTTTCCTCTGAAGAAGAGATTTATAAACTCTTGACTTTCAATCTCTGCTGGTAAATTTATTCTAAAGCATCATATCCAACAGAGGAATTTGAGAGAATACTTACAGGAGTTGGCGACCTGCTTGTTGGATAGTTGTTGACTTAGTAGATAGCACTGCAGAATGTGTACCATGTCTCTTCCTTCTTTTTCCCATGATGATTAGCAATGTCCTGGGATTTTCTCAGCTCTTTTCAAATGTTGAGGCTTCCAATAAGGTAGCAGAAAGTGATATTTGAAACATTAGATTAAAAATATATATTCCAAAATAATTGTTTTCAGGTATGAAACAGGGAATTAAACTGGTTCAATCCTAGTTTGAAGATTTCAAGCTTAAAAACATTGTTTATCAGTCAACACTTCCAAAATGACTAAAGCAGTACATATCAAGTGTAAAACAGATGACACAATTATTTCCTATTCAAAAGGGGATGTTTTGAACTCAAAACAGTTTGAATTAGAAATGCTTTATACGTTCTTCTTTAGACAATCACAGCAACTTAAAACTTCTACTTCAAAATACAGCAAAGAATCCTCCTACTTTGCTAAGTGAGGACCTTTGCATCAAAGTTCTCTCTGGATGGAACTATATGAAGCACTAACCAAGATCCTGTTATGAGATGAGAATAAACTGTGATAAAAGAGGACAAAAACCAGGATCTAGCAATGGGGCCATCCTTCTTTGCAAACCTGACTGAAACATGTCTGAACTACCAAAAATGACATGGTACATATGTTACTATCCTAGTAAGGTACTTTGTGATTTGTTGACATTACAACTTACAGATTTCTTAACTACATTCTAAAGACCATGTTGAATAAGACTGATGTGCAATTTGCACACCATGTTAGTGAATGGTTGATTTTGAGGTTTGCTTCAAACCTGTGAAACAGAAATAGGACAGAATGGGAAGAAAGCTTGGGAAAATGTAATCATTTTATTGATTTATCAGTACTTCTTTTCTCTATGACTTAAAGCAATGCCAGTGAATATATGATTTCTCTTCATCTTTACAACACCAACTCTGGATAATTAGGTGTAGAGGTGATGAAAAAGTCATCTACCAAATTCCAAGATCCAATGACCAGTTGAAACTAATCTCCCCCCCCCCAGGAATATGATGGACAAATGAGAAGGGGTATCTTAAAGTAGTTTTTTCTAAGTTAATGCCTTTCAGATGGATTGGGCTTCAGCTCCTAAAACTGGCATAATTCATCCAACATATCTGAAGCTCACTAGTTGAGAGAGGGGTGATTTGAACAAATCAGTGCTAAGTAATGGTTAGAGCACCAGGCTGAGACAAGGGGGCATCCATGGGGGCAAGCAAATGACAAAGGTGTGTCTTGATGTTCTTGTATAAATGGCATGATTTAAGAACACACATTACACATTGTGATATCAATCATACCATTTGTGGAATGATGTAAGGACATATGCATCATCGTGTTAATATAATTGTTGCTTGCTATTTGTCACTGCTGTGGGTAGATTCTGTGGAACTCATTGATGACTGTACACAACACACCAAGCCCAGAGTAACAAAACACGCTTTCTGTGTTAACATGCAGTGCCCAAATAAACCAAGTTATGATTTATTGTGATAGCCTGATTCTCACAGTATGCTAAGAAGGGGTTGGATTCCTACAGTATTAAACATCCCAAACAACTCAACTTCCTTTTAGCCTATCTAACTACTTATTTCCCTTTTAGCCTATCTAAGTGAATTAAGCAAACCCAGCCACTGACTTTGTCAAGAATATTGATGCAGACATTCTCGTGGTCCCTGTAGAGGTGGTGCTTTCTGCCTTTGTGTCAAATCATGTGAAGGGAGGTTTAGGGGTGATGGCCTGCTCTCCTGTATTGACCACTTGAGACTTAGAGCAGGTATGTCCTGTCACAGTGCCTAGCCCTTCGTTTTCAGGCTTTCCCCCCCCCTTCTCTTTTGCAGTGGGTTCTCTTACTCTGTCCAAACTATCTCTGTTATTTCTGTGATGAACATTTAAGTGGTAGAGGTGGGCAGAGCAGGAGAATGGAGCTTTGGGGTGCCTGCTGACCCTGCTCTCCCAAGATCCAATTCCCAGACAGAAGGGCTAAAGAGCCATTTTCCCCTACTTTTCTTTCTGTATGCATTGAGCAATATCCCAACAGTTTAGGCATTCCAGTGTTTATCCCACAGGGGTGTGATTTCAACACAGGCCCCGTGCACTTTTGAAGACCACTGGACAGATGCCACTTTAACACCTGTGAAGTGCTCTTCCTGAAAACTTTCTAATGTGTCACAAACACTCCTTGCAGCTTTGGCATTGGAGCAGCAAAGCGAGAGAGATGTTTTAAACATGTCTTTGGTAATCTACCAGAAGATTGTTGGGCCAATTTAACTTGACACCAAAAGTGCAGAGGGCAGCTCTATTGTACAGAGAAACAGCATCCTTGCTATACAATAGTCCCTCATAGCTTTAGCACTCTTGAGTATCTTTCAAAAGACTTACAAGATACAAGGCACTTGTGACTGAAACATTGCAGCACTGCAGCATTTAAGCCTGGTGATGAAGCCATGGCAGTTTTACTATAGAGCAGATGCCTGCCACCATAGAGAATTGGGAGTTATTTTTTTAGAGTACAGGTAGTCCTTGACTTAAAACCATAATTGAGTCCAAACTTTCTATTGCTAAGCAAGACAGTTATTGAGTTTTGCCCCATTTTATGACTTTTTTTTTGCAACAGTGATTAAAGAACCACTGCAGTTGTTAAGTGAATCATATGGTTGCTAAGCAAATCTGGCTTCCCCCATTGACTTTGCTTGTCAGAACCTAGCCAGGGAAGTTACAAATGGTGATCACATGATCCCAGGACAGTGCAACTGTCATAAATATAAGCCAGTTGGCAAGTGCCCAAATTTTGATCACATGACCATGGGGATGGTGCAATAGTCCTAAGTGTGAAAATTAGTCATAATTAAGGTGACCAACTTTTTAACAATGAAAAGGAGGACACAAATAAATAAAAGAAATATCGTACATAAAAGAAACATTTTATTCATTGTAACAATAATACAGAATACACTATAATATGATAAATGGAGAGTGGGTCCTGCAGCTCCCAAAGCACCAGCTGTGCCAGCTCTGGCCCCGGGCGGCAGCCCGCCATCAACACACCCTGCCTGCAGCCGCCCCGCCAGCACCACTGCCCACCCTGCACAGCTCCATGTAGAGTGGGCCCCGTGGCTCCCACAGCACGGGGGGCAGCCGGCCGCCGCTGCCCTCACACCCCCGCCCGCAGCAGCCCCACCACCCCTGCCTCTTGCGCCCGCAGCCATTATTGCCCTAGCACGACTGAAGATCAAGAGAAAGTTACCGTGGCGTCGCCGCTCCAGTCTCCTCCAGGTATCTTCGGGACTAACTAGGAGATGGTGTATTTGGGTAGCAAAGAGGGGTGCAAAGTTCCTGCCAATTCACCTTCACTGCAGACAACTTGCATGTGCAAAATTTGCCGGCCATGCTCAGCAGCAATTTGGCGCACTCAGCAGCAATTCCTATTGGCTTTTGAAAGCCAATAGGGGGAGTAGCACAGCTCATGCAAAAGTTGAAAAAAAACCATTAAAAAAAGGTGCCAGAACGCCATTCTGAGCGTTCTCTGAGAGAAAAAAAGCCCTGCAGATTAGTCTTCAAATATCAGAAAGGGGGACATATAGGAGGACACTTTTCGAGGGAGGACAGAACTTGCAAAAGGAGGACTGTCCTCCCTAAAGGAGGACAGTTGATCACCTTATCATAATTCATTTTTTTCATTGCCACTGTAATTTCGGTCACTAAACAGTTTATAAATCTAGGCACCCTGTGTATGGTAGCTTTATGAAAACATCAGCTTAGCCCAGAAAAATAGAAGGAAAAACTCATGATTAATCAGAGAGAGAGAGAGAGAGAAATGGTGCCAGGCTTTCAACATTCTGTTGAATCTGGGCTGCTTGAATATGCGGACTTCAACTCCCAGAATCCCCCAGCCCAAATCTTCAAGGGGCCGTGGCTGAGAAACACTGCCCTCCAACAATGGAGTTTCAGGAGTTCATGCAGTTTCTATTTCCTGAATAGGCCTGCCTTGAAAGGCTTGACATTCACTCTGTGGAAGGATGTAATCTTTCTCCTCCCACTACTTCAAGTGCAGATAGAACCTTTACTCTTCTGTTTCATACCCAAGGAAAAATGGGTAGGCAATGCAGACAGCTGATTTCCACAGCTAAGCAATACGTATCTCCTTGAAGGGGAAATGAAGGATGTGGGGGGGGGCAACAGGGTAGCCCATTTGCTACACGGAGCGTAAGTTCTCTTGCCCATAGATCTGAACTGAAGCCAAGTCCAAGGACAACTTCGCTTGCCGCGGAGCTGTTCAAGAGATTTGCCTTCTCAAACATCAAGAATAATTGAAGCTGCAGCGCCAGACCCTGACCCTCATCGGTGACTGTAGTTTAGGATATCTACAAACAGGCAGCTTGGAAAAGTCTCTGGGTAAATAATTTTTCTTTTAATCCAAAAATCAGAGCACTTAACAGCACGTCCCGCCGGACCAGTTTGGGAAGGTTTTGGTACTGAATATAGTTTGCTGGCGCCACCTGGCGTCGCTCTTGCTGATTATCTCTCTCTTTTTTTTTTTTTAAAAAAAAGACTTTTTGCAGCTTCCGGCCAGATCCCAGGACAGTTCAGTTTGATGGTCAACGTGGCCAAGTATTTCCCTCACCTGTTGCCCGGGCCGTGATAGATCCAGAAAGCCCGAAGAAAGCATAGGGTCCGGAGTTGAAGGGATCTCCGGTGAGTTGAAAGCGCTAGAGAGGAATTGGGGCTGGGAGAAAACGTAGTCAAGAAGCCGTGAGTGGTGTGGAAGGGGCGGGAGCACAAGCAGACGGGAAACGACTTTTGTAATGCTTGGTTGCTTTATCTCAGTAGTTTGTATAGGTATGAATGGAATGGAGAGGGGAATCTCTTAATAAACAAGAACCATAATTTCAAAAGTAGACGAATGGAGCGGATTGTTCATTAGTTGCAAAAAAAAGGAAGGGAACTGAAAATCCAAAAAGTATGATTGCAGGACACGTACACCTGAGATTAATTAAATTTAATTAATTTAATCCAATTTACTCTGTTCTCGCGGGACTCCGGACCGAAAAATAAGCATGTGACCTGAGTTCGCGCAAGACAGTAGGCTAAACTGTGGTTGACTCGTTGGTAGCTTCGTTTATGGTGCGAAGGCAGCTTGACAGCGGTAAAATTTCAAAGGAGGGCTGTATTATCGTTGCAGCATAACTTTTAAGGAGAGACCTTAAACGGGATCTGCTGAACAAAGGAGGTGCGTCGCATTACAAAGGAAGATTTGATATAGTATCTAGGCATATTCTCCACAAGGAAAGAAATAAACAATAGAAAGAGGGATTTTTTATTTTTGCAAACAGTGGGTGAAGGATTTGGTCACCTCAGAGTGGGGATTGTTGCTGTTGATGCAGTGCACAAAATCGAAGATGCCCAAGGAGCAGGAGATCATAGCAGGAGAACAAAGAAAGGCCAAAAAGAAAGATTGGACAAATGTATAATTTATTCCTGGTACTAAAGGAAGAAATTGTGCCAAACCCTATTTAAAAAGGTGGTTTTGAAGAATGTTCAAAAGGAAATACCAACATATGTATTCATATAATCTCATCTATATTCTTTAGTTTAAAGCTCTGTAGGAATGTAATGAAACCTACGTGGCATAGATAAAACATCCCAGTAATGCCCATTTTTAAAAATCCTTCCATATAAATAACTTTTCCTACATTGTAGTTTGGAACATGTTAGGTTTACAGGTTAAGGACAGTTGTGGCCAATTAATTCATGATTTCAAGAAGTTCAAGAAGAATTGAGTCCTTACTAAAAAGGTCCTGTTTATTTAGACTGCTTTTTTGGATGGATATGTAGCTGTTCTAAGTGGAGAATGAGTTGCAATAAGCTAGCTAGAGGTTCATCCTCATTGTCTCTACTGTGATATAAAAGTATTTTACTTACCGTTTTTGAGTGACATGTTGTCATGATGTCACGTCCATCTAATTCTAGTCTAAAGGCCATTGTCAATTGTTCTGTTTTGGTAGTGATGGTTTCCTTCTTCTCTCAAACAAAACAAGGTATTTAAATATCTGAAGCCAATCAGTTAGGTTTGATTACATTTTTATTGATTGTGGAAGGAGAGATGATCTCCTGTAATATAGGAAAAAAGATTTTTGTTCAAAAAAAAAAACAGAAAATGAAAATTGCAACATTCAACTTTCTCTTTCTAGTTTTACATAGATACAATGGCCAGCCTTTACCCCCCTGTACCATCCTCCTGCGACTGCTTTGTCTCACTTCCCCCATCCTCTTTTGCCAAAGAGATCATTTTTGGCAAGAATTCAGATCGGCCAAAAGATGAAGTTCAGGAGGTTGTCTATTTTCCAGCTGGATGTCATGTCAAAGGGACAAAGGTTCAGGTGAGTTGAGATCTGTCACTGGAGAGAAGGTTTGATTGGAAGGGTTATTTAAGTCTCATTGGCTAGGTATAGGAATTCAAATAAAAGCATGGCTCACAACCTTTTAATTCATTCACCATAGATTGACACGCTTGTCAATTTTGATGCATGAAATCGCCAAATAAGGTAAGAACACAACGCATTCCAAATGTGATCAAGGAAAAAAAAAATTAATGAGATCCATCCAAAGCAGTCTTGTAGGAAAACACACTCATCCTGAGAGGAAAGTTGCATTTAAATATAAGGAAAGTATTTTTGTTTCCAAAGATAGTACCCCTATAAAATAGCTCTTGCTCTTCCCTTGTATTTTTTTTTTAATCACAGTAAGTAGCTGTTTGCTTAATCACTTAAAAAGAGTAAAGGCATCCTCAGATTAGCATGGCTCTTCATGACATATTTTGTGACATTTATGAGGTTTTCATGACCTAAGAAAAGTGTGTAATTTCATTCTTCCTAGTGGGACTTTGACTTACATGTTATGGTAAATCAGGCTTGGAGATAGAGCAAGAATTAAACCTCCAGAATTCTGATGTCTGTGCCTTGTCTTTCTCCACAGTGTACATATATTGAAGTGGATCAGGTAGAAAAGACACATGCAGTGATCCTGAGTCGCCCTGCCTGGCTGTGGGGAGCTGAAATGGGTGCCAATGAACATGGTGTCTGCATTGGCAATGAAGGTGTGTGGAGTCGAGAGCCAGTTGGGGAGGAGGAAGCCTTGCTGGGCATGGATCTTGTCAGGTAGGAAGCAATGTGATGTATTGTGTGATTTGTAGAACCCACACCCAACACCTGCACATTTTCTGCCTCTCTATAGCTGTATCATTTAGGCTCTTTGCCACAATGCTGCATCATCACTGAGAATTATGAGATAATATTGCCTTTGCTTCTGTCTTCCTGTCAAGTAAGCATCAGAACTAAACTGCTTTATTACTGATGTGATAGGAAAACAGACTCAGGCGAAGGCCACATTCATACATTAACTATGATTTCTAAATACAGTGTTTGAACTGTAAGTTCAGAGGAGTAAGTTCGTATTTTGGGGGGGTCAATTTCCCATCTTTTCTTCTCCTTCAGGCAAATTATTTTGCCATTTGGCATTTCAGTAGAATAAGTATTTTAACTAGCTGCATCCTTTTAACAGCCATATTGTGAATTTTTTCTCAAAATTTGAAATGTTTGCGCTAACCCTGAAAGATTGGGGCATAGGGAAGTGGTAGGCTTGCAGTGCATTTATGATCACCAAGTATCATAAATGCACAAGTATGCCTCTTGCTTCCTTAAGAATTGAGATTTTCAAGCATCTGAAACAAACTATAACATTTGGCTTCTTCTTTCCCTTCTCTAAATTTGATTCTAAAATGTATGGATTTTCTTTAACTTTATGTTCCTCATAAACACCTCCCTGTGTTCCTGGATTGAGAAGCTTTGCTTGACATCACTCATGCTTTAGTCACCTCCTGGCTGGGCTGTTGCAACATCTTCTGTATGGGTTGTCTGAAGATCTTTCTGGAAGCCACAGTTGGCCCAGAATGCAGGGTGTAGATAGTTATGGATACAGTTGGATATGTCCATATAATGTCACTATTTGTCAGGTGCAATTCAAGATGTGGAGTTTTCATCTATAAAATTTTACATGGCACAAGATCAGTTTATTTTTAGTATTGCCTTTCTTCAATTATTTTTGGCTAATATGCTTAATACAGGTAGTCTTCAATTTACAACCATTCGTTTGATGACCATTCAAAGTTCCAACAGCACTGAAAAAAGTGAATTATGGCCATTTTTCTTACTTACAACCATTGTAGCATCCCCATGGTCACTTGATCAAAAGGAGGAGGGGTGAGAGAGGAGAGGACAAAAAACAGGCTGGGTGCGCGCAAAAAAACAGGTAAGAATGCAGCTGGGGAAGGGTCGTGGCATGAGAGTCCACTTTACCTATGCCATGCTGCCCAGCCTCTCCCTGGCCTGCCCAATTTCGGCAGATAGCGCTGCATTCTCCTCAGCATGTGGAGAGGCTGGGCCTTCCTTCCTTCCTTCCTTCCTTCCTTCCTTCCTTCCTTCCTTCCTTCCTTCCTTCCTTCCTTCCCTCTTTGTCCTTTCCTTCCCTCCCTCCCTCCCTCCCTCCATGCCCAGGTAGGGACAAGGGGAGGGCAACAGGCTGACAGTGCGGCTAGTTATTGTGCTGCCGGTGGCCATGGCTTAAAAGACCACTGTAAATTGCTGAACAGGAGCCGCACAACGTTAGCAGAATGGCGGGAAGATATTTGTAATGAGGGAGGGACATGCCAAACCTGCCTTGTGCGCGCACAGAGGCAGAGGCAAGTGCATGCACCTGGCGCCTGTTGTCCCAGGTGACTTTTTTGCCACGCAGGCTGACTGCATTCTTAGCGCTTCCCTTTTACCCAGACGACAGGTGCCAGGTGCATGCACTTAGTTCTGCCTCTGTGCACGCACAGGCAGATTCGGCGTGCCGCCAATTTGCCTCACCAGGCCACTCCATGCAGTGAGAAGACCGTGAGGCTGCCTGCCGAAACCAGGCTGGGATCTGGATGGAGTAGTGCAGGTAATGTGGACTTTCAAGCCATTTGCAGTATCCCCTCCCCTGGAGTCCACGGATGTGTTAAGAAGGCGAGGGCCATTTGCTGATCTTCTTCAGGGATGTCTGTTTTTCTCCCTCATTACAAATACCTTCCGCCACTCTCCTCTTAACGCTATGCGACTCTTGTCCAACAATTTACAGTGGACTTTCAAACCATGGCCACTCGTAGAACAGCCACCAGCCGTACTGGCAGCCTGTCCCGCTCCCCTTGTTTCTTCCTGGGCATGGAGGGAGGGAGGGCAAGGAGGAAGGAAGGGAGGGAGGGACAATTAAAGGGAGAGAAGGAAGGAAGGGACAATGAGAGGGAGGGAAGGCACCCACCCCAGTCCCACCCCCCTCCACCAAAGACTCATGGATCTCCCACAGTCCCGCCTGCACCTCCCACAGGAGCCCCGCAACCTGAGTGACGATCTGGCCACACACCCCTGGCCCTTGACTTTGCTTGTCAAAAAGTTGTAAAAGGTGATCACATGACCCTGGGATGCTGCAACAGTCATAAGTGTGAAAAATGGTCGTAAGTCACTTTTTTCAGTGCCGCTGTAACTTCGAACAGTCACTAAGCAAATTGTTTAAGTCGAGGACTACATGTACTTTATCATTTTTTTCCTTTTTTTTGGGTCATCAGGTTTTTGATACCTTGCTAGGTGGCTGGTGGTACTCGGATATTGCCTTATTCTAAAAGTGGTGCAATAGGTGAAAAGATTGAAAAGTCCTGATTTAGAACTCAGAGCCTCCTGAGTTTTTATTAAAAGTTATAATTATAATAATAAAAAATAATACAAACAAAAAAGAAATAGGAAAAAAGAATAAAAAGTGCAAGAAAAAAAAAGAAAAGGAAAAACTCAAGAAAGCGATTTACCACTCTCAATAGGTCAAGTATAAGCAATTTTACCATCTCTCCACATCTTAGTTAACAGATTTAAAACTCTTCACCCCATAACTCAACTCTTAACTATATGTAAGTCCAGTAAACAGCATCTTTTCAAAACTGGATATCACCAAAAGTCCAAATAGAGCTCTGAAATAATCACATTATTTAAAAAATATAAAAATCATTCCATAGCTCTTAATTGTAAGCAAATCCAATATCCAATATCCTTACCAATTTAGATGTCAGAGGTCCAGAATGAACCTCCCAAAATAACATGTCCCATTTTAAGTCTGATCAAATAAACCAACTTTATGTTCCTTCCTTTTGCATAAAATTATCTTGTTCCTTAATTCATTCAAATGATTACTGACCCTTGTCTTGAATTCCTTCAAAACTTCAACAAGCCTCTTTAAGAATCCAGAAAGACAGACATTCAAATTATTCTCTTGAATTAGCATTTTTATTTCTTAATTTTTAGAGCCTCATTCGGGGTTTTTTGGGGGGGAGATATCCAGTGAAAGATTCTTGTTTATTTTGTTCTTTATAATCATGTCAGATAAGTTCTGTTCCAAATATTTTTCTGTAGTAGCATCTATTGGTTTAACAGTTTCTTCTGGGAACAGAATATTCAAAAAGCACACAATAACTGATATGTTGAAGTCAGATCGAAGTCCTTCAACAATTCCTCCACAAAGTCTCAAATCCATTATAATTGTTTATCTTGTTACATCTCCAATATTGAAAATATTTTTTCTTTCCCATGAAAATGCATTTATTCTTTAAAATTGATTTCAAAATCTTAATATTAAGGATTGAGGGAATTCACTCATTTTGAAAGTATTTAACTTCTTTAAAGCAGTTAATAGGCACTTTCCAAAGATGGTTAGCAAAGGAAATGCAAATTTAGTGTCCTTTGAAGTCTCCAATTGCAGCTGGAGCAAGAATGGCAAATTCAGTGTCCTTTGCATCCTCCTCACAAGGAGCAACTGTATGGAGAGAAATGTGAGCAATCTTCCTTCCTTCCTTCCTTCCTTCCTTCCTTCCTTCCTTCCTTCCTTCCTTCCTTCCTTCCTTCCTTCTTCAGAGAGGGTTGAAGGTCTTGATCTACTTATTGGCTTCTTATTCTTAGCTGCAGTTGGCAGCTCTGTCAGCCTTTTGAAGAGCTGTCTTTCATCTGCCATTTTTTCCCAAGTTTCCAGGTTTCTAGGCCACACCTTAACCACTGTACTAAGCTGGCTCTCCATTAATTGTTATTATTTTAATAGTAACTGTAATTGTTCAGAATTACATCAGTTTGCATCCATGCATATTTCCTTAGTTAATTTCAATTTAATTTAATCAATTTTAGACTAGCAACTAGCCAAACCTAGTTGAGTTTTCTCAAACCAAAGTAGAATCATCTCTGATTTGTTCTCAGATGAAGGGCCACTAAGAAATCTAAGGCTGTAGGCTAAGGGATTTTTTTTTTTAAATCAAGAAACAAGGCAGAGCATACTTGACAAGAAACCCTATAACTATATCCCTGATGTCACCAAGAGCTAATGCCAATTTGAAGAAGTCTCTAGTCTGATTAAAGCCAAATTGGTTTTGGAAGATATTTTAAGATGTAGGGTTGCTATAGAATGCAAGGGATGGTCTCTATTCCTCAACAATGCGAACTAAGAAAAGATTAAAATACTGCTGCTCTTAATCTATTGAACAAATTTATATCCCATTGACATTCTATCATGGTCCTATCTTCCTCCTTCCCCTCAAAGACCCTTTATCGTATACATTGAAATAATAGGTTGCTTTTTAAGAATATAAATTAATATATTAATTAAGCATTTGATAAACACACTTGAGATACTAATAGCAATGAGTGCTATATTTCAGACTGGGTCTGGAGAGGGGCAGTAGTGCCGCTGAAGCAGTCCAAGTCATAACAGCCCTTTTGGAAAGCTATGGCCAAGGGGGCAGCTGCAAGGAGGCACCAACTCCTTTTGTCTATCATAATACCTTCCTCCTGGCGGACCGTACTGAAGCCTGGGTGTTGGAAACAGCGGGACGGTTTTGGGTGGCTCAGAGGATCCAAGGTGGGCATTTGGCTTACTTGTTTTTTAAATAAAGAATGTACTATAACACATTAGAAGGGTGCAAAGGATTTTGAATTTAAAATATGATATTTCAATCTCATCAGAAATATCCTTATCTTGTTCTAACTATTAGGAATTATTTGAACGCCAAACAGCTCCATTTTGAGTTGGAACACATGGTTCAACCTTGAATTATAGCGTTTTAAGTGTTGAACATTTCCAGTAAGGTTAGAAAACAGAAATGTACAAACCCCATCCACCACCCTATTTGACCTGAAACAAATATAAATTTAATAATGATATCAAAGAAAACATATTTTAACTATACACTTCTTGTTTATGTGAGAGCAAGTTTCATTTCATTCAGTGGCCTTATTTCTGAGTAACCATAAATTTAGGTTGTAAAATTTATGCCTGCTCTTTGCCAAAACTGGCTTTTTCTGCTATAATTTGGCATTCATTTCCTAGGTTAAAACATTTTTCCTGGGCCATGGGACTTTTTAAATCCTCAGCAAGCTTCTTGAAAATTGAGAATTGTGCAGAACTGCTTATGCAGTCCTAGGGCTCAATCTGACAGAATTACAAACATTCCTCAGCACAGTTGTCAAATTTGTACTGTGACTTCCTGCATTTCAAGAAGGAAAATTATTTAAAATTTAAAACTTAAGGGAAAATCCAAATATCCCTTCACACAGAGACAAACAAATCCTGCTTTACCCATCTATGAGATGTCATCTGTCCATTTCTTATCCTCATTCTACTTTGATCCCTTCCATGGTTTACTTCTATATTCCACTAACAAAAAGTTAACCTCCTCAGTTGAAAATATGCTTGTATGAGTTGCCTGGCAAGCTACCATAAAGATGAGTTAAGATTGCTGTCTTTTTTATCAGATATATATATGAGATACGATATATCCTTTGATTATAAAGCAGTGGTTCTCAACCTGTGGGTCGAGACCCCATTTGGGGTTGAATGACCATTTCACGGGGGTCGCCAAACAACGCAGTCCACCATTTTTTCCCCCTTTTCCTTAGCTGTGCTACTCCCTTTTATTCTATTGGCTTTTGAAAGCCAATAGAATAGACTCTCTTGAATAGAGTCTAATTCTATTGGCTTTCAAAAGCTAATAGGAATTGTCCAGGCTGTCTCTGCCCTGCTGAGCCCGCCAAAAGTCCCATTCTGCAAATGGTGCTGCATCAGTTGAGTAGTCCTCGACTTATGACTGGTTGAGTAGTCCTCGACTTACGACCGGTTGGGGGTCGCGGCATTAAAAAGGTTGAGAACCACTGTTATAAAGGATGTCGTGTGTTGGATCTTCCCTGGGAGATTCCAGTATTTTTAAGAATGCTCTTCCAAGAATTGGCCTGATTGATTTATATCCTTCATAACTATTTTTCTGCTTTCTTTTGGGCCTTTCTGCTACTTGAACGTGAGATTTCAAAGTGGTAGAATATAATGGAAAACAACTTTTCCTATCCGTATAAGCTGCTTAGGCATTTGTTCAGGCTGTAATCCAAAATGTTACTGGAGTCCAGCTGTCATTAGCTTTACAGATTGTTGATCTGGAAGATCAGGGAATAGCATTTATAGGTAATCCTCAATTTATGATCATTTGTTTAACAACGGTTTCACAAAAGTGACTTACAATCTGACCTCAAAATTTCGACTGTCAGATATCTTCCTCCATGGTCACTTGGTCACAGTTTGGGTGCTTGACAATCTGTTCACATTTACAATGGTTGCACAGGCATGCAATCATGTGATTGCGATTTTCAACCTTCCCACCGGGATATGGTGGAAAGCAGTCCAGATTCCCAAGTGGGAGGAGCTGCATTCCAGAGGAGCAAGAGACAGCAAAGTTTAGATAGTTAGTTGGGAGGAAGAAGGTCAAAACAGCTCCTCCTAGAAATCCTCAGGGAGATTTTTAATAATGCAAATACTTTGCTTTAATTTGGCAAGATTTCTGCCTATAGTTGAGAAACAATAAAGGAAACTGCTTAGAAGAAACTCACCATGCCTTTATTGATTTTTGAAGCTAGCAAGTAAAATCATTTGGGGAAGCCTGATTTGCTTAATGACCATGGTAAAATTAGGTCCAGTCATGTGATGACTTGCTCAACAAATGCATCACTTAGTAACTGTAATTCCAGTCCCAGTCATGGTCATAAGTCGAGGAGTACATGTAGTCCAAGTGAGGCTATTGAAAAAAATGAAAAATGCCATGGAGCCCTAATAGTACAGTGGTTAATGTTTAGCATTTTCAGGCTGACTCTGTCCACAGCCTGGAGTTCAATCTTGACAGGGCTCAGTATGCCGACTCTGTAAACTGCTTAGAGAGAGCTGTAAAGCACTGTGAAGCGGTATATAGATCTAAGTGCTATAAGTGTGTGAGATGAGGAGAAAAGAGAATGCCTTTTCTAAAGAAGGCTATCAGAACTTCTCCTATAAAAAAGACTATGCCAGCAGTAGAGCAAATTCTAATGTTTTAGTAAACAGTATTTTCTTTCCTCCAACCACCCAGAAGGGGCCAGAAACATTTCCAACCAGTTAACTATTGGTACCGACATTACCAGTGAACATATGAGTCTAAGACAACATGCTCAAGAGCAAGGATGGTGGAATGGTCAAGGAGAGTTCAATTTCACAGAAGTATTTTCACTGATCCATCAGCCTGTCCGCATGGAGGCAGCCAAAGCTCGGTATTGTGTTGGCCAGAAGCTGCTGCATCAATACTCAGGTGGGCTTTCAAAAGATATGAAGAAAAGGGCACTGGAGGTCAAACTCATATGGAATGGGGATCTGAAGGAATGGTGTCCTGCTGCTTAGGGATTTCTTCAAGCAACCGTTCCCAAACTTGCGCTCCAGTTCTTCAGCTCCTAGAATACTGATTGAATCAGTCTAGGTTCAAATGCAGTTTCTGGTACCCTCAATGTGTGAGATTTCAGAGAATTCCCAGCATAACAAATTCTGGGGAACTGAAGTCCAACACATCTGATGGGCACCACATTAATGGAAAAATGCTTTAGCATCATCTAATTCATTCGATCCCAGTTTAGCAGAAATGTACTATACTGGTATAGCGCAGAGCAGCTTTTTCTAATTTGTTATCTTCCAGCTTCTATTTTTAACATTGGCTACTGTGACTGGTAATTCCGGGAGTTAAAATTTTGTGTGTTTGAACATAATATGAAGTCCAGTGCAGCTAGAGGGTTGTTGTTGTTGTTGTTGTTTGCAAATTGTGTCCCATCCATCTCTTTCTGTCTGCTTTCTTCAATGCCTCCATGAATTGTTCTCCAAATCTACCATGGTGCCTTTACTAATGGTATCTTCTTTTCAGGGTACCTATGAATTTTAACAAATGTAAAAAATATTTTAAAAATTAAAATGATGGGACAATTGTTGTTCTCTCCTCTTTGATATTCATGTAACATTCTTTTTCATTGTAGGACAGATTACTGCTGAAACAATTATGTCCATTTTAAGTGACAAAGCCAGTGGGATCTGTGTTGATTCTGAAGGTTTCTGTACCACAGGAAGTATGGTATCCGTTCTCCCTCAAGATCCTCTTCTACCTTGTGTCCATTTTTTTACTGCCACTCCAGATCCTTCTAGGTGAGCAGCAGTTTTGTTTAATGAGTCTCCAACTGCACACATAGGGCAAAGCCGGACTTTCCTTCTATTTACAAGATGTAAAAAATATGTTGATGCCATTACTACATAAATTCTGTTGCCGTTATTGCAGATTATTCTTCTGTCTTGGTAGCAAAGCTAACAAGTGAGGCTCTTCCTTCTGTTTTAATATGGTGCAAACAAATTAAGGAAAATAATTGGGGATTGGTGGATAAGGAAGACTTTGTTCTCTTCCATCTCATGTCACCAACTAGTGGGAACAACAGTCCTTCTGTTTAACATGGAGTAAGCTGGAGATGGGTGAGCATAGTCATGTACTTAGTGTGGCTATTAGTCAATTTGTCCAACTTAACAGTTTGTACTCATGGAAGTGTTCTGTAACTGTTATTTATCTGGCTATTTGTAATATTAAGCTTATACTCTTCTGAATGAGCATTAAGCATATGTCCAAAAAATAGCATGGCTGACAGGTTACACCCAAGAACACCGGATGATGCAGGAGCAAGCAGCAGTAAGCAAGCTCTGTTTTCAAGCACTCCTGCATGGGAATGGCAGTGAAGGATAGTGGCTCGCAGCATCCAGAACCAGCCTATAGAATAGTAAAAAAAAAATTCCCACCCCCAAATAAAAAGAACAGTAAAAAGCAGAACTGTATAAAATACTATTGATAGAGGCAGACAAAAGCTATAATGGACTCATTGAGAACAAAACCAACAATGCACACCTGGCAGACCCAGGTTTTGTTTTTGTTTTGTATTTTTTGCCCCAGTTTAAATTATTCTTCTATGCTAGCCCTCTGTTTTTTAAATCTATGCTTTCAAAACAGTTCTTAATAATACTTAACCTATGTATATTAGGAGGTTGCATGAAGCCCAGCATATGCTTTGGAAAGTGTTGGTCAGAAAATACATAAGCAAATCCTGGTATCCGTAGAAGGCAGTGCCCCCAAACAGGAGAGGGCAAGAGAGTTATTTCTCCAATAACCTAAAGTGGCCAGAAGAAGATGGGCAGATCCCTGTCTCCCATCAGAAATCACACTGTCAATGAAATGTGCAAAATTATGCCAGGAGAATGCTATTTTATAATTGGGACAATATTTATCTGCCACCATGGTAAGCTAAGATGACACAATGTCAGCATGTTATATAAAACTACAGGAAGTCCTCGACTTAAAACAATGCATTTAGTGACTATTCAAAGTTACATCATCACTGAAAAAAGTGATTTATGACCGTTTTTCACACTTAAGGCTGTTGCAGCATCCCCTGTTGATCATGGTCACATGATCAAAATTCAGATGCTTGGCATCTGGCTCATATTTGTGATGGTTTCCATGTTCAGGGGTCACGTGATCACTTTTTGTGACCTTCTGATAAGCAAGTCAATGGGGAAACCAGTAAACAACTGTGTTATTAATTTACCAACTGAAGTGATTTACTTAACTGTCGCAAGAAAACTTGCAAATTGGGGCAAAATTCACTTAATAAATGTTTCACTTAGTAACAGAAATTTTGGGCTCAATTGTGGTCGTAAGTTGAGGACTACCTGTAGTTACTGAGATACCTTTGTGACTTTGTTAATGTTAGACATCTCATAGCAATTAGGACTGGAAACAATGCATCTAAGAAATGAATCTCTCTGAGCTCAGATTTGTAAGATTTATTAGGAAAAAAAGGGCCAGTACACAAATTTGAGCAAGTATTTTTACTTTCAAATGAGTCATATTTCCAAAGGCAATTTAAAGCAGCTAGTGTCTGATTTTCTTTCTTGTGCTTTTTTGATGCAGTAAAGCAGATGCCAGCTCTTTTGATGCACCCATGGATTGTTTTGAAAATTATGTTAACCTTATCACTGTATAAAACAGTTTTCCCAGTTACCTGAGAACAAACCTAAATCTCTTCTTACCAACCTCGGCTTTTCATAACAGTCCTCTTGAAGTTTCAATAGATGCAAAATATACCTGAGCAGCATGTCCTTCATTATTTCTGGCTTCAGTTGACAGGAATCAGGCAAATGTAGGAGCAGATGCTGTTCACCTTTTCTAGCCTTAAGCCATTTTTTATGTTCTTCAGATTGTATGCTGCACATGTGTGAAAAAGAGTGACTGTCTTTCACTTGAAGTTTGAATTACATAACTCGAGTCATGCACTGTAACTCAAGGACTGGCTGGATTGTACTGCTGTTAGTCTTTTTTTTCCCCTGTTCTTGCTCCCTGATCATGCTTTAAGGATTTTAAAATGTTAAATTAAATTAATAAGAGTGCCTGATTTTTGAATATCACACTAATGACTTTCTTTTTCTCTTCTTGGCAGGTCTATCTTCAAACCATTTGTCTTTGTTCCCAATGTTACTTCCTTCCCTCAGGTGAAATCACCAAGTTTTGGTGAAAAAGACCCCATTAAGGAGACTCCAAGATTTCAGAGTCGAGTGGACCGTCGACACGATCTCTACAAGCAACATCAATTAGCCCTGGAAGTCATGGATTCTAATCAGGTGAACTTCCATTTATTTCCTGCAGACCTCACAGCTTTAAATTGTCAGGCTTTACCTCTCTTAGAAGCTACTATAGATGGAATTGACAGGAATTCAAATGTTAGCTAGAGAGAAAAGGTAAGAACGGATGGGTTGTGAAACAGAGGGCCCTGGAATGCTCCTCTATTGGGTACATTTAAGCAGAGACTGGGTATTGCATCATGCTTTGTAGAACTAGCATTGAGCTTTGACCAAATGATCTTTCACAACCCCATCTTTGTTTTTGATAATTTGCTTCAAATAGCTTGGAGAATAGATATGGAAGTCATGGTGGAACATGTGTGGACCTCTTTATAGCTGCCTTCAAGACTAACAAATTTAGTCTGACATAAGCAATCTGATATTCTAGTTACAACAGCCAATCCACAAACACAAGCCTTTTGGCCCTGGTGTTAGGATAACATGCTAGCTGTTTCCAGAGAACTGTTCACATGCTTCTGCTTCTAGCTCATTGTCCATTTACTCATTGTCCATTTACAACTGAAGCTGTCCTTAAATGGCTTTAGGCACTATTGAGAAATTTAAAAGGAACCATCTCTGAAATTGCTCCCTTTTCTCTCAAATACCTTAAAAACCTTATGTTTCCATTAGAAAATACCACCAGCTAAACCAGGGGTATCAAACTCAATTTCATTGAGGGCCGCATCAGCATTGCGGTTGTCCTCGGGGCGACGGGGGGGGGTGTAGCCAGGATGGGTACGGCCTACTGGGTGGGCGTGGATGGAGTGGGTGTGGCCTACTGGGTGAGCATGGCCAGCTCTACATCGTTCGCGTCAAGGGTGCCTGTGGGGGCCTGGGCAGGAGTGGGACAGACCTGAGGGTCTCGGGCAGAAGGGACTGGGACCAGGGCAAGCACCAAGGAATGGTCCATTTTGTCATTCCTCACAAAGGGTGACACTTCCCCAGCATGCACCCAGGGGACAGGGCTGATGCGGCAGGGGCTGGTTCCTCACTGCTTCTAGACGGCCTTGTGGAGCTAAGACTGAATGCGTTTCAGTATAGATGGCCACCACAAAATTGTACATTGGCTGCCAGCCAGCCTGGGCCAGGGCCAAGGCAGCGGGGGCCGTTCCCTCACTGTTTCCAGGATGGCTTTGCGGGCCACATGAAACCACTTTGCGGGCCGCATCCGACCCCTGGGCCTTGTGTTTGACATATCTGAGCTAAGCTGATCAGAAAAAGCTAAATAAGTTTTTTTCCTTCTTGATAAAATTCTGAACATTAGACCAGGAGGGAATACTTAGAAGTAGAGATGATGATGAATTAAAGTAAGCTTTGTAATTTGCTTAGTATTGCTTTTCTTTCTAATGTCTATTATTTTTAGTTTGTTTACCTTCCATTCTGTTGTTTTCTGTGTTTCACCTTGAGACTTTAAATTAGTATGGATGAGGATTTAGCCCCACTCCCTGTAGCGTATTACATTCTCCTGACATTTTTTGCCATCTTTTAGGTTTTGGAGTTCATCTGCTTTAATTTTCATCAGGCAAAGCAATGCTGTAATTAAAAACAGCATCTTATGAATCTCTGTTCATATATCATCTTTCTGTCCTTCATTTCCAGTTTGAGCATCAGAAACTACAGGAGGCTATGAAAACATTTCAGCAGCAAGTTCTGGAAAGTGTGAAAAATGTGTCAACAGGCTCTGTCACTGTGAAACCCCAAGAGTTGGCTGGCCTCTTTTGCAATTCTGTGGATGCAGAACTCCAACTGTATAGGTGATATAGACTTAATGGCCAGGTGGGTTGAGTTTTAATCCTTGTGCTTTTGACAGATTGTCTAAAAAATTTTTTCTTCTTTTAGGGTATGCCTATAAAGGGTTCTGAGCTAATCTAAAAGCAGATCATGATCTCTGGGTGACATGTCAGTAGGAGTAAAAAGCTGAATTTATTTCTTCTCTTAGTTGTATAGATGAAACTGGAACAAAGCTAGGGTTTCTTTTTTATATAAAACAAGTTTTATTAAATTTTTCAGTTTTTACAACAAAGTGCTTAGGAAGCAACGTGGTGATTGGGTAATCAATTATCCAAAAAACCAAAACATTTATATATAACTCAAGTTAACTCATTAAAGAATCCCCCTCTAATTCCTACAAATCAAAAACCATATTCAGATTACTACATTTCTAATAAAGTTCAATCAATCAATAAAATTATCGATAACTATTTAACTATATAAATCCCAGTCCTGTATTTAAACTTTACAAAATTCTAGATACCATATTTCAATTTAACCATACATAGGCCTAATATTTATGCTTCGGGTATCCCCAATTTCCCTCATTTCATAGCATGATATTACAGAATAATTATCATACATAGAATAAACATATTAATTCAAAAAATATAATCTTACTCTATTTCACATATTTATTCTACTAAACAAAAGTTTTCCTTCTCAGTTATAGGTCTAAGTCTTAAACTTAGATCAGTCCGTGTCTAAACAGCCTTTTTAATCCATTACAAACAGTTTTAAAAGTCATTTTTAAGTCTTATTCTGGCTTTTTTTTGTGCCAAGCAGGTTTCCATAACAGAGTTTCTATGTCTAGAAATAAGTCTCTCTTTATTCCTCGTGGTATCATTTGGATAAAAAAAAAAAAAACATCCCATTTTCTGTTTAGAGAAGCTGACTCCTTTGTAATTAATTACAAAGCTAGGGTTTCTTTATTTTATTAATTTTTGTTTCCTTACTGAAAGGAATATTTGTTTTCAGATGATTCTCAACTCTTGAGCTTTAGGGCAAAGTGACTTCTGTTCCTGTTCTCAACTCTGCAATGAACCTGAATGAAGCCATTTTGGCTCATTTTCGGTTGCCACCAGACTGGGAGGAGAGTGGTGGCATTTTTGAGCTAGTCTAAACAATTCTCTGTCCTATGGGAACCAAGGTCATTTTCTGTTCATTAGCTTGGGGGCTGAGCCTAATGGTAAAAAAGAAAGCCAAATTATTCTATTGGGAAACGTAATTGATTGCATAGTACTGGGGTGGAAAACTTAACTTTGTAATACTGTAACTTTAGTTTTGATTTCACTTTTGACTATGCTGATACTTGTAGCCAATAAACATGCTCTTAAAGGAAAACTTAAGCCTTCTAGTTCTATTGGAACTATGACATTAAATCAAGACTAAAGTTCTATTATTCCATTGCCACAATCAGTGTCACAAGTTGCAACTAAGGGCCAGATGCTCACACAGTCTACCGAGCCAGATAACTCTTTGACAAACAGAACTTAGGGAAGAGCTAAAAACTGATGCTTGGTTCCAGGTGAATAAGACCCTACTGACCTAATGGGATGGTTTAGCCTAAATTGTACCTGCCCAATATACTCAGAGTCCAGGCGCTTCAACGCAGTCACAACGCTAAGCAAGCCAACTGTTTTGGGTTTCTAAAGACATTGCATTTGGTCTGGAGGTAATTTTGGTGGCTAGGGATAAAAAAGGATATTGAAAGCTACGTAAAAACTGTGCTACTTGTGCTGCCATGAAAAAGCGACCGGAATTGGTGCAGCAAGTAGCAGACCCCTCTCAGCTCTGGGAGGAGATAGCTATGGAATTTATTATTGAGTTACTGGAAAGTTGGGGAAATACAGTAATATGGACTGCCATTGATCTCTTTTCAAAGCAGGCTCACTTTATAGCCTGCTCAGGGTTCCCCTCTGCAAAGAGGTTAACCAAGATGTTTCTGAAACATATATACCTCCTCCATGGTGCTCCAAAGATGATTATATCAGACAGGAGAGTTCAATTTACTGTGAGGTTTTGGAGAGACTTTCTCAAGCTAACTGAGTCCACTCAAGGACTTTTGATGGCTTTTCATCTGAACACAAATGGATCAGCTGAACAAGTTAACACAATGGTGGAACAATATATCAGATGCTAGGTTGACTATCAACAGACTGACTGGGCTAACCTCCTGCCTTTTGCTGAAGTGGCTTACAATAATACCGTGCACAGTTGTACTGGACATACTCCATTTAAAATAGCCACCGGCAGAGAGTTCGTTCCTATGCCTGAATACCCCCAAGATCCATCTGCCTCACAAACTTTAGATCAGTGAGTGACATCATGGCAGACTGTTTGGACTAATGTTAAAAAGCTTCTAACACAAGTTTGCAAAAATATACAAGGAACAGGCCAATAAGAAGTGGTCCTCTCAGGGTAGGGGAGAAAGTCTATCTTTCAATTAAATATTTAAGACTTAAATTACCTAGCAAGAAATTGGAATTGAAATTTCTTTGTTCTTTTCCTATAGTTAGGATTATAAATCCTGTGACAGTGGAGTTAAAACTTCCTCGCTTGTTGGGGAAATTTTATCCTGTTTTTCATTGAAATTGCTAAAACCTTTCAGAGAGTCATCATTAAGACCAATTCCTAAGAAAGCACCTAGTCCTCTTTTGGTTGAGTGGGAAACTCATTAGGAAATTAAACAAATCCTTGACTCTAGGTTATAGAAGAGAAAATTAGTACTTAGTACAGTGGAAGGGATATCCATTGTCAGAGGCAATCTGGGTGAAAAGTACAGATGTCAAGGCAGATCAGTTGATAAAAATGCTTTACGATAAGCATCCTCAAAAAACTCTACAACAAACCTGAATGAAGCCATTTTAACTTGTTTTTGATTGCCACCAGACTGGGAGGAGGGTGTGGCATTTTTGTGCTAACTTAAACAATTCTCTGTCCTGTGGGAACCAAGGCCATTTCTGTTCGTTAGATTGGGCGCTGAGCCTAATGTTAAAAAGCCCGCCAAATTATTCTATTGGGGAACGTAGTACTGGGGTTGGAAGTTTAACTTTGTAATACTGTAACTGTTTGGAGGGAACTTTATTATTGGTTTCACTTTTGATCGTGCTGATACTTTGCAGCCAATAAACATGTTCTTAAAGGAAAACTTAAGCCTTGTAGTTCTGTTCTAGTTGGTCTCATCTATCGGAACCATGACACACTTATTTACATTTATTTAAATATACCATGTATCAACTTTGGAATGATCATGGCTGCAGCCATTTTTTCCTTCTCCATTCTAGCTGACACATAGCATGGAGGGAGGGGGGTTGCCAGGTGTTGCGCTAGACAAAACAGACTTTATCTCTCAGACTTTCTCTCATGGGAACCAAGGTCATCAGCTGCTCCTGATACTGCGGACTGGGCGTTTTATGAAATGCCCGCCAACAAACTGTGAGAAAACTTAGTTGCTTGCATAGCCCTAGGAATGGGATTTTTTAAACTTTGTATTGGGGAATTGTTATGCATCTCTTCAGACTTGGTTTCACTTTTGAAGTGCCAATACTTTGTATCAATAAACATGTTCTTTGAGGAATTCCAAGCCTCGGAGCTCTGCTTTATTTCTCTCTGTCTGTCGGAACCATAACACCGTGTTTATGTTTACCCCTAACTCAAAAGCCTTTCATTTGTAAAGAAGTTAAATAGCACTAGTCCCAAAACAGATCCTTGAAAAACTTCATCTCCATTTATTCCTACTCATTTCTTTCTGCCTTTAATTTGCAGTCCATAAAACGGTAGATCCCACATCTGCTAAATTTACTCAGCTTTTCATAAGTGTTGTTGAAACTGTCAACTCTAGAAGGTTTGTGAAACAGGTTTTATCTGTGGAATCTGCAGATTTTCCTTCAGCAAGATTTTTTTCTATGTGTCAGATTATTTATTGCTTAATTGTTTTTCTTTAATTACATGCCTACCAGTTTGCCTGGAACAGATGTTACATGACAGACATAATTGATGGGATCTCCCTGGATTTCTTTTAAAGATTGGTATCACATTTGGTTACCTTCCAGTCCTCTGGCTGTGTGGTTGATTTAAGGAAAAGATTATTTATTGCCTTTATGTTGCTGGGTCATGGGGAAATGAAAATTATAATGGTAGTGCCCTTACATTGCAATTATGTACTAAGTTCTGGAAATTACAGCCATTGGCATAAATACAAGATTTGTATCTGGTGCAATGAGTTTTAACTATTTGGGAATTTTAAGGACACTTTTATTGCAAAATAAGTTTAATTAATTTCTTACAAAGTGATGGTGGTTTTTTGTATCATCACTTTGGGATTGTGTTATAATTAAAAAATAGGTTAGGGTAAGAAAAAATTAAAAAAATATAACTAAAAATAGAACATCTCTGTAGATAAACCAATAGAAGCATTTAGTTCTAGTTATGTGAAACTTCCTTGGGGTTTGTTCACTAAACTGAAGTAGCCTTTTGAAGTCCTATGTATAATCTGTGTGACATCTGGGGACTCATAAATATCAAGGACAGGGATAGCATTTACAGTATCAGTTTTGGGAAACTAAAGCCATGGGAATCTTTTGGACACATCACATCCATTATGGCATAATTGTGTACATTCAATGAATTATTTATGTCTTTTGTGTAATGACACCAGAATACATGTGATGTCACTGTGGCTCCTACAGCTGATGCTGCAAGAGATGGGATCATGTTGCAAAGGAATAGGACTAGGGAGACTTCCGGGTTAGATGTCGTAGCATGACGGCCAGAGGAAATCGGGGCTCCATTTTCCACATCCGATTTTGCTCTGCTGGGGACCCTAAAAAGGGTCTAAAGTCGTCCTGGAGAGGCAACAAAGGGGACCGTTGTTGATTGCAGAGGGACGGCAGCCCTTCTGTTTGATCTGAGGAAGCCCTTCAAACCGGCAGAAGAAAGAGTGGCCACATTTATGCGGCCAGCCCGAAGCCACCAAAAACCCAAGATAAGTACTGACTAGTAATTTCTGAACAATACGGATGGAACTGGGTGAGAAGGATCCTCTCTTTATAACTTTAAAACTTTTTCCTGGAAAAAAGAACTCCCAAAGCAAAGAATCCCCCATATGATAGAGAGAAGGGGAATTTCCACCCCGTTCTCTCAGGAAAAAAGAAGCGGCAAATAACTTTCTTCGGGGGAAAATTAGAGAAAACTATAAGATTAATTTGGATTTAATATAGAGACATAGTTTTGACAAATATTGGGGACTAAAAGTATTTTTAAGACTTTATATTCGAAAAGATATATGATAAGTTGGTGAAATAGATTTGGATTTAAAAGCTGGAACATGGATGTTAATGGTGAACCTTAGCATTACAATTTGGCAAGAAGCCCGGACATAAATAAGGCTCTTTGTTGTTCCTAGAAACTTTCACTTTTGCAGACTGCAGCTGGGAAAAAGGGAAAAAAATCCTTGGGCTGTTTTATCTGTATGAAGGGGACAATAAACCATTCTAAATTGGCAAGCCTGGATTACAAATATTGCCTTACTTTTAGTTTCAAGAATTATCAAGAAATATTAAGAAACAGTGGGACAGTTGCTTCTGGACTATTTCTCTTTGGGAAAAACATGGATAATAAACAAGAAAATGTAAATGACTTCAGAAAGAAATTCTTTCCATGTTGAAATTAATTCAAGAAATAATTGTTTTAAATTATGAGACTAAAAATAATTTAAATAACATAAATGAGCAATTCTCCAACTTAAAGTTTTAGTTACCCAAATGTAATTAATTATGAGAAAAATGATAATTGATAGTTATTTTGAATTTTGATGAGAAATTAAAATTGAAAAAAAAAACAATAGGGATTGATTAAGGGAACTCTGCAAATACATTTGAGATATATTTTGGCTAGAGAAGATATTATAAACTGATATTATTGACACTATAACATTAGAAACATGGGATGAAGATGTTTATATTTAATTGTATAGGTATTAATAGCGGTAAGAATTATACTTGTATAATGGGGAAAAATTATTACTATTGGAAGAAGAGAGGATCAGGGAAATACTGGATGTGTAGTATTGGATACTTTGAGTGAAAGTTAATATATACCACTGAATAATAAAGGAACCCAGATAACGAGTTGTTTATTAAGTACTTACGATTGTAAAACCTGAAATTAATAAAATATTTAGAGGAATAGGACTAGGGAGAAAAACCTAAAAATCCCCTTTTAAAAAATTAAATATCCACTCCCCCCCCCCAATAGCTATTCATTAAATGTCAAAATAATGTTTTGGTCTTATTTGCACATACATATTATGTATAATATATGTTAAACCACAATGATAATATAACATTTATGCCAAAGTGAAACAAACAGCTTTATTAGCATAGTACACTATGGCTTTTTACAGGATTAACCTATGGTGGTTTCAACAAACTCTTTTATATAAAAAACCCAATATAGCAATAAGTGTGAAATAGCTTAGAACTGCAAAGAAACAAAAGTTTTCTACTGGTTCAACTTTCAAACTCTTTTCTAGTTTTCCCTGAGAAGAAAGTTTGGAGCAGTTACTTTCTCAATTAAAGTATATAATCTCATACCAGACATTTCAGGGCCAAATATAGAAATTTTATGGCTATCTGTAAGTTTAAATGCTTTGTAATTTGCCTCTATTATACACATTAAACTTGACTGGAAAAATACGAATTCATGTAATCCCACTGAAAGGCACATGCAAACATTTGGGTTCAGATATATGTAAATAATTTTAGTTCCTAACCAAGTTTTGCTAGTAGGTTTAGAATTTCCTAATAAACATTTCTAGGTGCAATTTTATAATTCAGTATTTTCCTTGGGGCCTTTTGTTGCCTCAAAGATAAATTAGTATTCATTGGTGTACATCTATGCTACAAATATAAAGCACAGAAAAGCTCATTATATTTCACTAGAAAGAAAATTTCAGAGGGATGAGTATACCTGCTATTAATTTCCTGCCCCTCCCTTTTCTCAATAGAAGTGTTTCTTGAAAGTTACTGTGCAGACTCTGCATTTTTCTAGTTTTTTGACTGGCAATCAATCAACCTCCAACAGTTCATAATGTCTTGTTTATTTTAAAAATGGGCAATGCTTCACAAATGAAGTATATTTGTTTGATAAGATAAAAATTATATAAGTAAAATAGTGTTTCAACAAAATATCATTTTCTTATGTTCTTGTTTGCAGTTTTAGCTGTACTAGATATTTTCCCTTTTGATATTTTCTGCTGGGTCTTGGTGCCTTCGTGTTTTTCCTTTGGAATGTTCAGTCCTGCATCAACTTCTGGAATCACTATTCTTTGTGGTGATGGATTCAAAACCATACTGTTCTCAGTTTGAGATAAATTGGTTAGAACTGGAGATCCTGATTCTGGTAAACTTAGGGGTTCACCTTCACTGGTGCTGAACACAAGCTGCCTCAGATTCTGTCGCTGCCTCAGCTCTTCCAGACGGGTTTCGTGTTCCCTCATTGCTGTCTCTCTCCGCTGAGCTGAGCGGCTACTGAATTCATTATGGAGATCAACAAAGAAGTCTAACAAAAAAAAAAGAATTAGGATAAAGTTATAGTTGCCATAGTCCATTTATAGTCCATTGTTTTCTCAGCAAATTTGCACAGAAGTTTCACAATTGGGGAATGCAAATTATTTTTGTTAACGTGGATACACATAAGCCAGAGGGTCAGGCTCGATGTATAGATTGAGCTAAAAGCTAAAAATACAGAATGTTTCTTCACTGATTGCTGACTTGTTCAGTTTTGGGTTATAACTGGCGCATCTGTTAGAGAAATCATGGCAGTCTGAGTAAATATCAGCTCAGCCAGGAAGTTGCTCAAAGTCTCCATTGTCCCTTATTTTAAAAATAGCACTTTTAATACAAATATTAAACATAATATACTGTAAATATAATTAAAATACATTTAATCTTAGCAGTTTTTAAACAAAGATTAATATCTACCAGATCTTTTTTTTTCATCTTTACTTTGGGAATAAAAGATATTCTTTGGTGAAGATAAATGTCATTATAATTGATAATAACTATATTTATAATGGTTATACCTTTTTACTGTGCATATTTATTTCCTGTGAATTGTGGCTTTTAACCAGCGTTTCCATGATTTTTCCCCTTTGTTTTATCCTCCCATTGTTCTCGTGAGGTACGTTAAGTTGAAAATGACTGAACCCTAAGATTATTAGGAAACATCAAAGGAATCTGTATTTCTTGATGCCTTCAATGTTAACCATTTCATAATAACATATCTTCAGAAGTATTTTTTCATTGCAGAACTAAGAATCTTTGCTTCCACATTGATGTAGCACTCAAAATCTGGGCTTGCAATTGGAATACCTTTTTCTGTGCTCAATGGCTGAAAGAGCTCTGGACAGTCCTCATAATCACTCTCTTCTGAGCTATTTTCTTCCTCTTCATTGTTCTGGAGTATGATTTTCTGCTTTGAGATGGCTTTGTTGTCCAGTTCTATCAGATGGGGCAGAGCTGCCAACACACACTCCCTGGAAGATAAAAATAAAAGTTCGTCTCTTTACTCTCCTTTTTGATGATTAATAAAAGTAGTAGGCAAGATCTTTTATATTTAATTATTCATATTTTTTGTTTTGTTTTAAATGAAATTGATGCTATAAATTAAATCAGTCTTCCTGCCACATATTGGCAAAGTGTGTACTTCCAGAATTATCCAGCCAACCATACTAGCCCAAAAAACACTGCCTCAATTCCCATGTTCTTAATGGATTCAGAACATTTGCTTTATTCTGTGATGTTGCAGTGGCCTTAGTAATGGGGTACTACTTTCCTAAATTTAATACCTTCTGGATATTAGTTCTTATACTGGCTGGGATAAAGGAAGTTCCAAATTCAGCCTGAAGGACAAGAAGTTAGAAAAGATAATTATAGGATGAGTTATTATGAATCAATATGATTTGTTTTCCTAGTTTTACCTATAGCCTTTTTGATTCCTGCACTTATTTCCAGTCAGGTCAAGGATTGCAAGGTTCAGGGGCAGCTCATCTATATAAACAAGAAGGTAGAAATAAGGAAGCTGGTGAGAGTGCAAATGGATACAGATTGATACAAGAATGTTTGGAGATTCAGGAGACTGGTTCATATTTTCATGAAATATCAAATTCAAAATACAATTATTTATTATTTTATTACATTGCTAAATAAATACTTCACATATCTTTTTTTCATATTACAAGTCAAACTGAAGGGCTGAATTTCAATAATATAGTTTCTATAGTATAAGTTCATGTAATATTTTCACAACCCATGAGGAATATAAGTACTGATCAACATTGCTTGTCCAATTCTAGTTGTAGAGCAAATCTGGGCATTTTATGGCCCCTCAGCAACATCCAGTCCTTTTACTGTCCCTATCTGGCCTGTGTAAGATTAGTTGAAAATTAGAAATCAAATGTCAATAATTGCATTATGCACACAAGTAAGCAGAATTAAATTCAGCCTGTTGGTTCAGCTCTACATAGTAGTCTCAGTTTCTCATGTGACCCTTTGGGAAAATTAACTGTCCACCTCTGTAGTAGAGGCCACAGCTCATAATTCCGATAGTTGATAATTAATGGTTATTGAAAGTTATATTTCCAGCATATCAGGAAAACACAAGTTTGAGGATGGCTGGTATAGATGGCAAAGATGAATATAGGAATAGACATGGACTAACCTATGTCTAAAGTATCAATGCAATTCTGTGAAAGATCCAGAAACTTCAGCTTGAGGAGAGATTGGAGGTTCTGTACTTTGTTGATGTAATTTCCAGATAATGACAAAAACCTGGAAGCATGTGAGAAGGCAAGACAAGCTGTAAAATTCTTAAGACAAACAAAAGTAAGGCACTGCCTTTCAGAGAAAAAGGAAATATACAGAAGCCATGATGCATTAATGGGTGATGACATCATAAAACATGCAATCTATTTCTTGCAGCAGATAGCTAGAGTTACAATCCAACTCTCAAAGCCAGGTGAGTGTTTCATTACCTGTCAGGGCTGGAAATCAACTACACGTTTTTTATTCTCATTTCTGAATCCCTCTGATTTTAAAATGGGTCTAGTTCTCACTGAAGTGATAAGTACATTTCATTCAGATAAAAAATTAGCAACCCAAAAATAAAATATAACCATGTTAGTTTTCTATACTGAATACTTCTTTAATTTAGGGATGATCCCATCTGTAAATGTAACATTACACACCAGACATAGGCCTTTCATTCTTGAGATAAACAAACTTGAGAAGAGTTGGTGGCTTTGGGGCACTGAAGCTCATTCTAGTTCAAGTTGTTGCACACTCACAACATATACAACCCTCTGAGTAATTTAGCTGCAAGTTAATTCTCTAAAACAGTTACACAAAAAGTTGATTTAGTTGACAGGAAAAGCATGTGATATGCAGACAGCAATACCTACATTTATTTATACATGATAATTTATTTATTAAAATGTCATGCCACTCATTTTTCCTGAAGGTGACTCTAAGTGTCTTATAGTAGGGCTTTTCAACCTTTTCACCCATTGTACCACTTTTAGGATATGGCAATATCTGAGTACCACCAGTAACCTAGCAAGGTGTCAAAAACTTGATGATAAAAAAAGGAAAAAGTGATGAAGTACAGCGAGCCCTCGATTTACAACAGTTTGCTTAGTGACTGTTCAAAGTTACAATGGCATTGAAAAAAGTGCCCCCCAAACCACAGCCGAACAAGACACCTGCCTGCCCGCCCGGTGGCGCTCTTCCTCCTGTCCGAGGTTTTCATTGTTGCGAGCATTTCTGTTGAGAATTGGCAGCGGGGGTGGGGTGGGGGGTGTTTGGTTTTTATTCTCGTCTGCTGGGTGGTTGCAGCAGGTTTTGGTCACTTCACATGACCCTGGGACACTGTGACCATCATAAATATGAATCAGTTGCCAAGCATCTGAATGTAAATCACAAGACCCTGGAGATGCTACAACATTCCAGCTGATTGGCGCTTCTTCTGGGCTCAGCGGAAGCACCAGGATCAGCGCCAAACTCCAGCTGGTGCCTGGCACTGATCCTGGTGCTTCCACTGAGCCCTGACAGCCCTGAAGAAGCGCTGATGCTGGTGCTTCCGCTGAACCCTGACAGCCCTGCAGCTCCAGCCATCTCTCACTCAGGCTTGTGTGGTGCTGCCACTGGTTCAGTTCATTCCCCTCCCCCACTACCACTTTTCTAGGATGGTCGTGTACCACCTGCCAGGTGCCAATGTACCACAGGTGGTACCTATACCACTGGTTGAAAAGCCCTGTCTTATAGGTTATAAAACAAGTAGAAAAATAATTTAAAAACTATACAGATTAAGATTTAAAAACCTATATTGAAACCAGAACTAAGACACATATAGGACGGGATGAGGTCTTATTCTGTCAACCATCTCCATCGGTGAGCATCCCCATCAGGGCCTCAGGCCAATCAGCAAAATCAATTTTAATACCTTTCCAGAAGGCCAAAAGGCTGAGGAGAGCATTTTCACTTCCAATGATAAGAGTTTTCCACAGAAATTAGGCCATTGCAGAAAAGACTATTCTCCTTAAACCCACCTGCTGGAATTTCTTAGCAAATGGGACCCACAGCAGGCTTCTTCCACTTGCTCAAGAGGGGGAGGCTAGTCCCATTGGGAGAGATGGCTCCTCAGATACTCTGGACCCATGCCATATAGCACTTTAAAAGTAACAACCAATGCCTTGAAGTGGATCCAGAAGCAAACTAGTAACCAATGCAGCTTGTATAATAGTGATGTTATATGTGAGGCCTAGAAATTTCCAGGACTGCACAGGACTGCATTCTGTACCTGCTGCTGTTTCCGAATACTTCTTAAGAATAGCCGCATTACAGCATGTTGCAGTAATCCAGCTGACTAGGGCTTGAATAACCATCCAGGTAAGGGAACAACTGATACACAATACAAATTGTGTAACATCCTTCCTAGCTATGACTGCTGCCTGCTCTCTGACAGGAGTCTTGAGACTAGGAAGACCCCCAGGTTGCGCACGAAGTCTATCTGAGATAGTATAACCCATCCAGCGTTAATAATAATAACAAATATGTAATTTGTTTGAAGCGTTTCATCCATTGTTATTATTCGATGTATATTATCATAATTTATCATAACTATTTGATCTCAATTTGATTCACACTGAATTGTTTATGTTTATACCAACTAAGGAAGATTTTCCAGCTTCCCTTTTTAATGATTTAAATAATGTAAGTTAAAAATATACTTACTTCAAGTTTGGAAAGCAATTTAAGTTTTCAATTTTCTTTATTTGATTCTAAAAATGAAAATAGCACAAATCTCAAGATGTTATTAAATGCAGGTAGGGAATTGGGAAAGATTCATTCAGTGTATACAAATATATGCATTTGGACTTTGAAAGGAGTTTTTCTCCTAGCTATTAGGTCTTTGTGTAGTCTCTGAGACACCTTTTAGGTAGTAAAGCAGTGCTGTCATCCCAAACACCAAAGCAACTGTAGTAAGAAAGTTGGACATGTAAGTTATTTGTGGATATCTCTGCTGTCTATTTTCCTGTATCCTTATATGCATAAAGCATTATAAGAAATATTAAGAATGGCAGACTAAATTTATTTTGGAATGACCACATCCAATCTGCATCCAAGGAAAATATTTTACCCTTCATGGCAATAGATAAATATCGGATTTAGTATTAAAATTTTAATATTATTTAAAAATAAAAATAAGATCAGCACCAAACCAAATTATGATTCACCTGTCAAGATATCTGGATTCCTCCTTTATGAATTTTGCTAAATATTTTTTGTGTACATCTTCAATATAGTCCAACAAGAAAGAAGATAGCACATAAATCATCTTGCTAAAACAGTGATCTGTCACTACTTCCAGGATTGTTGTTTTTTTGTGTATCGTGATACACTTTCAGGCACTAAAGTCTTGAAGTCTGAATATTTTTAAGACTGCTTTCTCTAATCCAGCGCTCCAGTTGCAATGGAAAGTTGCTATCATTCCCAACCAATGTAAGTTCTGTCACTTTATCAAAGGGAGTTGGGAAGCAGCTAGTGGTACATAGTGAAAGCACATGCTTCAGATGTCAAGAAAGAAAAAAAAATGTTACCTTTCAAAGATAGTGCTGTATTCAGTAGCAAAGAATGTAGCAGAGTATGTTACCTGTTGTAAATAGATGCTATGGACATGCTTTAAATCTGGCAGGTTGGCAATGCAGCTAATTTTCTCCCTATCTAGCCGTACGACCTGTAGAGAAGCCAGAGCTTCAGATCTGGAATTGGAAATATGTTTTTTCAGCCACAAACATTATACCTCTTCCTTTCCCCCATCCTCCCCTCTGCCAAAGTATATCTATTTAAACATAGCAGGAATACTCACATCTTCTCTGGATCCTCTTTCTCCACTGGTACTGGCATATTCCTTTGGACAATAAGAGATTTTGTCAAGTATACTCCTTCACTGGAGGGTTGTAAATTTGCTGAAAACAAATGAAGGATTCTGGTTTATATAGGTTTAAATCAGCATACCAGCTCTGCTACTGTGTCATGATAAAAGCAAATCTCCTTGTTATTGTTTCTAACAATGAAAATTCATAAGGAAGATTCTAGGAAAAAGAACTCTGAAAGAAAATAAAAGATAATATATTTCTAGAATATATCAGAAAGGAAGAGGAAGATCCTTCATTTTATATAGAATACTGTGCCATGACTATATCTCTGCTTATAGTTTGTATTGTATGGCTTTATTTGCCCAAGTTTTGTTGTTCTTAATCACTGCCAGAAAAAATCTACCTGAGACATGATTACTTTTAATAAGTCAGATTTAATCATACTTAAAGTAAATCCATTGAAATGAATGGGACAAATTAACTGTAAATCCCACATTAAGAGAACTGTAAAGTCCATATTAAGAGAATAAATCTTAATTTATAAGTATATAATGAATAAAATTGAAAACAAAGTGATTTCTAAAAGTCAGTATGTAGTTCTCAACTTACAACAGTTCATTTAGTGAATGTTCGAAGTTACAACTGCACCAAAAAAAGTGACTCATAACCATTTTTGACACTTAACGATTGTTGCAGCAGCCCCATGGTCACACAATCAAGATTGGCAACTGACTGATATTTATGGCAGTTGTGTCTTGGGGTCATGTTATCCCCTTTGGTGACCGACAAGCAAAATCAAGGGGGAAGCCAGATAACTTAACAATCATGTTACTAATTTAACAACTACAGGGATTCTCTTAACAAATGGCAAGAATGGTTGTAAAATGGGGCAAAGGCTATTTAGCAACAGAAATTTTGGGTTCAATTGTGGTTGTAAGTCAAGGACTACTTGTAAATGTAATTCCAAAAAAAAAAAAAAAACCCAAAAAGGTGAAAAAAATAAAATATAAAAAAATAAAAAATAGGTAGTAATGGACTGATTTACTACCAGCTAAGAGCTGGGGGCGTAACAATACAAGGGAACAACAATCAATGAATTAATAGCCAATCATCAACATCCCAATCAACAACTAAAAGCCACACACAACCAGGTATCATATAAATAGTATGCACAGAACAGCCCAGTGCACACATCCTGGAGATTGAGAAGTCCCTGAGGATGGGCTCCAGTGCGAGTCAAAAGCTTGAAAGAACAAACCTCTAATCCTGGTGACTGACTTAGATTGGATCCTGCAACATTATCCTGGGATATGTATATTTGCCTTTATTCGCAAGTAGTGTAATTTGATTAATCTTATCCATGCCATGAGGGAAATAAAAATATATAGGAACTATCCCTCATTTAGTTAGGAACAATATTTTGATCGTTGAGAAGGTGATACCAATTGCTTATTGTTTTAGTTCTACATTGGACTGGATCCCTCAAACCCTATTGAAATTAAGTATTAGTATTGGCAACTAACTCATGAGGCTTTGTCACCTTAGATTTGGCGGAGATGTACACTGTGTTGTCTAAAACCTAAGAACTTGTCAAAGGAAAAATCTTCATCATGGTTCAGTCCAAGCTGGGAATAAACAACATGGTGACTGCTTTAGAAAAAAGGTTGCAGTTTATTGAAGAAGAGAGCCCGACAGAAAGATGGCTCTCGAAGAAAAGAGAGAGCACATGTAGGAAGTGGGTTTTTATACAGTTGAAAGAAAAGTCTTCATCCTGGTTCATCCAAGCCGGGGATAAATAAACAACATGGCAACTGCTTTGGGAAGAAGGTTGCAGTTTATTGAAGAGCCAGAAAGATGGGTCTTGCAGGAAAGACCAGAGAAAAGAAGGGTTGAGCACATGGGTAGTAGGTTTTTATACCCTCTCTAGCCTTTTGTTTGTAATAATTTCCTGTTCCTGTGGCATGAACTTTGAGGTTATTTCCTGTGTCACGTATTCTGACCAGAGTTTAGGTGTGCCTCTCTGGTATTCTTTATGGTGAAGGGTTAATCCTATTATCATATCCTGTTTCCCTGGTGATGGGGCTAATGGCTCCTAGAGTTTAGGTGGGGTATGCAGATTTTAGGTCTTTGTCTTCTTGATCTCCTAGCTGGGGTCTTTCTGGTGGTTTGCATCTGCATTTGTATTAATGTGGGAAAGAAATAGAATAACATAGAATAAAGAAGAATAAAGTATAATAATAATAATAATGAAAAATCACTAAAAGCAAAAATCATGTGTCTGCATAATCTCTGAAAGAAAGCTGTGTTAGCCAAAAGCTGTATTAACAGTACGTGAATGACCTAATGCATATTTAGAAACATTGTATAAAAGTAAAAACTGCCTTCATTGTATTCCCATGAGAAATGGACCTAAGGTGTGAGAAACTATCTGAATGTTACACAAAGTAGATTCCATATACAATGTAAGATTCCATCTATGCTTCCTTTGTTCCTGAGAAAAAGAAACCTATAAAACTTTAGTTTAGACCCTCCCCCTTGTTCAGAAATTTGTTGATTGTTAAATCACTTCTGAACCTTTTGCGCAAAAATAAAAATCTCTCTTTCACCCTTGGAATTTCGTAAAAGTCCTTTATTTTTTTAAGGCTTTATTTTTCCACAAGATTTATGGCGACTTCTCTGCCGGGACATTTTTAAGGGCTTTTAAGAAAAGGGATTTAACCTTCCAAGACGGATTGCCCTGGTGGGCCCCCTCTCCTAAACGACGACAGCTCCAAAGCCGGCTCCGTAGCTCTTGACTATAGGGAGACCTCGGTGGGAGGAAAGGGAATTAACCCATCAGCGAAGCATTCCAGTCTAAAGATCCGTGAGGGTGACAGACAGGTCTTAAATCAACAAAGGAGTCTGGAAAACTCCTGCAGGCAAGTATTGTAAAACAGGGGAAACCTGATCCCTTTTGGATCGGAAGAAGGGATTGATCACCCCTTAGAAGGCAAAGGTGTCGTCCTTAAGCCTTCGATAGGCAGGATTGTGTGGGAGGTTAAACCATTGTAGCTCATGCTGAGTGATCAATGGTAGTGTATTAGAGAGATGGGTGGGAAAAAGTCAAAGGAGAGCGTTGACCAGACGCCACTCCAGTGCATGTTAAAGAATTTCAAAAAGAGTTTTTCTAGGGATTATGGAGATCCAAAATCAAATCCAGCCATGTTAAAAAGATTCTGTGAATCTGAGTGGACTGCCCTGGGTGTAGGGTGGCCAAAAATGGGATCGGCGAATCCCGAACTCGTTGCACGGGTTCATCAAATTGTGACTGGAAATGGTTATTGGGACCAGTACCCCTATATTGACCAATGGAAAATCAACATTGCACAGAGTCCAGATGGTTAGCAAAATGTCAGATAGAATGTGCAAAGTTATATTTGGCAAGCCAAAAAGCCAAGCCTCAAACAAAAGCTAAGATTTTCAGCCAGGAAGATAGGGAGGAAATTGCCAGACCACCCCCCTACGTTCCTAGAAGAGAAGAAGGGAGAATAAATCAGCAAATTCCACCTCCTCTGCCTGAAAGAGAAGCCCAATTTCAGCCAGAAGCGGTGAGGAAGGAAAATTAGCAATAGCTGGATCCCTTCAAGAAACAGATAAAAGCTTGAATAACTTTGAAGAAAACAAAACAGTTTCTAGCCGAACCAGGAGCAAGTTAGAAATAAAAACAGAAGAAAATATAGCCCCTCTAAGAGAGGTGTTGGTCTCTGGACCAGATAAGACTAATATTTCAATGCTACAATATGTTCCGTAATGGTGACAGGGAGAAGGAACAAATCAGATCAAAAAGAAAAAAAAGAAAGTTGAAATGTTAGCCGTGGCATTGGGAGGAACATGCCTAGGAGCCAATAAGTGTGCCATCTGTAAACAAGAAGGACACTGGCAAAGGGAGTGCCCCCAGAGGAATGGCCAACCCAGGGGACAATCTCACCAGTATGGAAGAGGGAGAGGAAGAGGATTTAGAGGGACTTTCCAGAGAGGCTTCAGAAAGAGCTTCAAAGGAAGAGGGCATCCAGTTTATCCCAATCAGACAGAGGAAAGAGAAGAAAACATGATCGGCTTAGCTGACATGGAATGGGAAGACTGAAGAGGACAGGGTTCTATCGCCCCACCCCCAGAGCCCATTGTTAAAATACGGATGGGAGGACAGGTTGTCCCGATGCTAGTTGACACGGGAGCCACCAGATCTGTCCTAAATAAATCTATTGGCAAGCAATCAAAGCCTTGTGGTAGCCGTATATTTAAAAATTCGCCAACGTGCTTTAGTCAAGCCTTAGCCCAAGATCTTGCTTATCTGAAGTTAGTCAGACAAGAGGATTGTTGCCTTCAATATGTCGATGATGTCTTAGTAACTGGCCAAAGCAGGGAGGATTGCTTTGAAAACACATCCAGACTGCTCCAATTGTTACAAGACTGTGGTTATAGAGCATCCAAAAAGAAAGCACAATTAGTTCAAGAGACTGTAATGTATTTAGGCTATGAACTTTCACAAGGACAAAGAACTTTGGGCCCCCAGAGAAAGCAAGCTGTGTTACAGATTCCCCTCCCACAAACAAAACAGGAAGTTAGAGCCTTTTTGGGAATTACAGGCTTCTGTAGAATTTGGATTCCTAACTTCGCTCTCACAGCTAAACCATTGTACCAAGTTTTAAGGGGACCAGAAAAAGAACCTCTTTTGTGGCAAGAGGAACAAACTCAAGCAATGAGACAATTGCAACAGGCTCTCACCACAGCCCTCGCCCTAGGACTACCTGATATATCTAAGCCATTTTCACTTTATGTGGATGTAAGACAAAATGTAGCTTTAGGGGTCCTTACCCAAAAGCAGGGAAGTTGGAACCACCCTGTCGCTTATCTGTCAAAACACCTGGACATTTCTTTCCAGGGCTGGCCCCAATGTTTAAAAATTCTAGCAGCAGTTATGCTATTACTGCAGGAGGCAAACAAGTTAACCTTTTCAGCTCCAGTGACTGTTTATACTAGTCATGCCTTGCAGACAATCATTGACAATAAAGGACATTTATGGATAAGTAATCAACAAATGCATAAAATACAGGCTCTTTTATTAGAAAATCCACAAGTTACACTGCAACAATGCTCAACTTTAAACCCAGCAACTCAAATGCCAATTCCTGATTCAACCAAACCTGTTCATAACTGCATGCAAACAATAGAACTACAATATTCTTGCAGACCTGACCTTACAGACCAACCCTTGCATAATCCAGACTATCAATGGTTTACTGATGGTTCTAGCTTTATGGATAAAGGATGTAGATACTCTGGTTACGCAATAGTTTCTCAAACTTCTACTGTTGAGTCAGCACATGGGTTCAAGCCAGGAGATAGAGTGTGGGTAAAGAACTGGAAATCAGATCCCTTGGGCCCAAGATGGAAAGGACTGTATACTGTTGTCATATGTTCTCCTTTGGCAGTGAAAACCTTGGAAGGAAAGTCTTGGATCCATTGGAGTAGAGTGAAAGCAGCTGCACCAGCAGATCCGGTGACCTACAAGGTGGACAAGACTGACAAGCCTTTGGTGTTGAAATTTACAAGAAACACAGCAACGGGTTCCCAAGACACGGTGTGATCAACAACCTTGCTGAGACACCCCAGGAAGCTGTCTTTCTACGCACGGTGGAAGATATGAGGATTCTACAGCTCGTAATATTTATTAATTATTTAATATGCACACACATTCCTACACAAATCAGTACAATGGCTACACGAGAGGTCATGATGCAGAAACCCTCTAATAAAGAATTATTGAGTAGCACACACCAAGAAAGAGCAGAAACACGGGGAAACCAAGGTTGTCAAAACTGTATCAAAACTACAAAACAAGGAAACCAGATAACCAAGACTTTGATTTACCATACAGTTAAACCAGAAGGGTGCCAAGATAGTTCACCTGATCTCTTGTACGTACAATAGAACTACATATAAAGTTTGTAGAAAAGGTGTCCAATATCAGTGTTATAACCCAAAGTCTGATCCTGATCATTGGGCCTTACAAATCAAAACACATAGAACAAGAACTAGCTATAAGGACCAGGCACTCTTAGGGATCTCCCAATGGAAATCCAATCCACACTCCAGTTTTAGCGTCACCTTTGATGTTTGCAAAGCAGCTAATTATTGGACTCCAACATATGGTTGCGGAGGGATCGGTAATATTCACAACTTTATCCCAAAACATAAGTACTTGTGCCCACCAGATGGATATGCGGTCAAATGTAAGTGGTGGGCATGTATTAAGTGGCATACCCAAGACCCAAAAGAGATAGACCACATCTTGTTTGAAAAGAATGAAACAAAAGCAAATTCCTGTGGAACGGATAACTGTAATTTGGTGACTCTCACAGTCAAGAATGGCAGTTGGTTCCTGGAACAAAATAGGTGGGAAAGTAAGAAATGGATGTTTGGAATAGGAATAGATACAAATGGCTATGATCCAATGTCAGAAATAGAAGTCAAAATTATAACTGCAACCAAAAGACCAGAACAAAAATCATTATTTTGGTCATATTATGAGGAAATGGAGAACCTACATATTCCTGAAGTACCTAGATATGTAACCAATACCTTTGTCAAGTTAGCAGAAGACATTGCCCATACTTTAGGCGTGTCTAACTGTTTTGTGTGTGGTGGAACAAACATGGGAGAAAGGTGGCCATGGGAAGCACAAGAGTTAAATTATACCAAGGTACTGGAAATGTCTAAAAATAATAATTTAACCTATACAAGTGGGAAAGATGGTGATTGGGCTCTCACTTCCAACTTGGTAGGACATGTATATTACTCAAGAAACAAAACAGAATCTTGTGTAGCAGTGGGTGACCTCCTATACACAGGGACATGGGAAAATGGTAAATGGTGGTCTGGAACCAATGAGACCACTGCTATGGATCCTGGAATTAACAAGGCTGCTATAACTATGAAGGTTTGTAGGCCTGAAAGTTTTGTTAATTCTAGGATGTATTTTAATTCCTTGCTTGCTCCCCTGTCTTATAGCCATGATTCGGAGAATCTCAGAAAGTACAGCCCAATTAACAGCAAAACATGAAACAATGTTAGCCTTATGGGAATATAAAATGGTACCTTCAAGAGATCCAGAATCAGAGGTAGAATAATGGAAGTTTAAGCTGGAAAACTTCCAAAGGCGGGAGTAATGTGGGAAAGAAATAGAACAACATAGAATAAAGAAGAATAAAGTATAATAATAATAATAATAATTAAAAATCACTAAAAGCAAAAATCATGTGTCTGCATAATCTCTGAAAGAAAGCTGTGTTAGCCAAAAGCTGTCTGTATTAACAGTAGGTGAATGACCTAATGCATATTTAGAAACATTGTATAAAAGTAAAAACTGCCTTCATTGTATTCCCATGAGAAATGGACCTAAGGTGTGAGAAACTCTCTGAATGTTACACAAAGTAGATTCCATATACAATGTAAGATTCCATCTATGCTTCCTTTGTTCCTGAGAAAAAGAAACCTATAAAACTTTAGTTTAGACCCTCCCCCTTGTTCAGAAATCTGTTGATTGTTAAATCACTTCTGAACCTTTTGCGCAAAAATAAAAATCTCTCTTTCACCCTTGGAATTTCGTAAAAGTCCTTTATTTTTTTAAGGCTTTATTTTTCCGCAAGAGTATAGAGCTGGCTCCTGCTTGGGACAGAGAGACTTGGAGGCCGGGTTGGTTTCTGCTTTTTAAAATCCTTTTGAGGAAATATATTTTTCTGCCCTTTTAACATTTCCTTCTCTGGGGAACTGACTTTCCACAATACCCTTTAGGGCTCTTGAAGTTGTTTTCTGTTCCTGACTGAGGCTTTGAACTTCCCCTGTCATGTATTTTGACCTGAGTCTGAGTGTGCCCCTTTGGCATCTGTGGGTTAATCATATTATGTCCTGTTTAAGAGTTTGGGTGGGGTATGTAGATTTTAGGTGTCTTTGTCTTCTTAATCTTCTAGCTTTAACCTTTCTGAATGGTTTACATCTGCATTTCTACAGAGCTGGTTTCTGCTTGGGAGAGGGAGACTTAGGGCTATTAAGAAAAACTGGGCATGCTTTTCTGCCTCTTTAAGATCCTTTGAGGAAATATATTTTTCTGCCTTTTTAATATTTCCTTCTCTGAGGGGTTGACTTCCCACAAACTCCCAGAATTCCATGTGGATATTAAATTTGCCATTAAAAAAAAAGCCCTATGTCACTTTCTGCGAGATGAGTGGCCACGTAAGTTGGATTGATAAACTTTCTAAAATGGCGATACAGTAGTTCTTTAATAATTACTTTTCAACGCCTTGAATTTTTAAGATATTTTCAAAGTGGAGGACTTACCTCCTGGCATGACTGATGAATCCTCCTGATGCCCAAAAATGAATATCTGTCTCCTAGAAAAAGAGACTGGGAAGGTTATTCGCAACCGCTATAGGTTCAGAATCTCCATGGAAACGGTCTAGTAGGGGGAGGAGGCAAGAATTACTATAACAACCCCTTGCATTTACCCCCCCCCCCCAAAAAAAAACTAGCAGCAGGTTGGAAGGAGAATTTGTAAGAATTTCTTATATCCACCCAAGGACTGGCGGTGTCCCCTTGGCAACATTTATGGCAGTGTTTCTCACCACAGTCACTTTAAAACGTGTGGACTTCAGCTCCCAGAATTCCTCAGCCCACCCCATGCTGGCTGAGGTACTCTGGGAGTTGAAGTCCACAGAGTGGCTGAGGCTAAAAAATATTGATCTAGGGTGAAACGGGCTTATCTTTTTTACAAATGAACGGGTGCCACTAGCAATCCCTAGGGTTACCATAGCAGAAGAAAGCAAAGGCTGGAGTCTTTCTGTATCTCTTTCCAGTCATTAAGGACTGGGAGAGATAGAAGCTTGAGAAAGAGTTGATCACGAGACAACTTCTCAAGTCTTCGTTGCTAGGAGACAAGAGCTTTTTTTTTTTTTTTTTTGAAGGTTAGGTAGGACTGAGAGAAACGGATTCCTTCCCCTTTAAATCTCCACTCCCGTGATGCTCTATTCTGACGTCCACGTTTTTCGGAAATGGCTGCTGTTGGCGGTTGGGGTAAAAGGATCTGTAAAACCAGTAAGACAAATGAAAAGTCGAAGAGCTTTTCCGCCTCCGGAAATTATTATCCGTTATTGTGACTTGTAAATCAGTTTATCTTGTATGCGGTGAATGCTCATCTTCTTTTGTGTCGGCGAGATCTAGAGGCTAGGACTACAGTTCTCCCTGTTGAAATTCAGCCTGAATCATTCTTTCTTTGCCGATCTTTCACCCGCATTGCAAACATCCTAACTTTTTGTAAATTTGGACTGACACAGTTTAGACTGTTAGATTATTCAACTATTCATATCTCGGTAAAGTAGAGGGAATGGAGTAACAAGGAGCTTTTGACATTGGTCAGAATTGTAATTGATAGGAGTATTACGTTGAGTCTTTTAGGGGAAGAACTCGCTTTTTTTCCAAGCAGATTTTAATACTAAGAAATACTTAAATAATTACATAGATAATATTGTGTATAATGCTGTGTAGTACATAGACAAGGTATCCAAAATAAAAAGGTTTAAACTGTAAAAGGTACTTTGAACTTCCTTTTATGATAGTTAACACCTAACATAAGCAATTATTACAAGTTTTGCTCCTTTCAATAAATTGACCATTGATTTATAGATTTCAGACTCTTTAATATTTTAACATACAATAATTAATCTCTGCTCCCAAACATAAAGCAACTACTGTTTCTTCAGTGATTTCTTAATCATTGTAAAAAAAATTGAGACTAGTTTTTGTAAACTTTTGTAAATGAAATTTGTGGGAATCTCGATGGATGGAGACATTCAGAGCAATTTCTTTGGTATTGGTTGGTTTTAAAGTTTTGTTTTGCTACATAGAAATTTATAATTATTTCTTATATCCTCTTTTCCTATTTACCTTTTAAGCTAAACAATCTAAATTATATAAATATGACCTTTGCAGCATCTCCATGATCACATGATCAAAATTCAGAAACTTGTCAATTGACTCATATTTAGGATTGTTGCAGTGTTCCAGGGTCATGTGACCACTTTTTGCTACCTTCTGACAAGCAAAGTCAACAGGCAAGCCAGATCCACTTAACTGTTACTAATTTAACAACTAATGTTTCATTTAAAAACTGACGAGAAAGGTTGTAAATTGGGGTAAAATTCACTTAACATATATCTTGTTTAACAACAGAAATTTTGGGTGCAGTTGTGATCATAAATTGAGGATTACCGGTATTTGTTTTCCAAGACAATTACAAGTACAAATAGTATTTTAAATCTAAAGTCATGACAGATTTATTTAATAGTGGCATGATGCTTGTTACTCTTTGAATAAATAATTCCTGAAAGTTTCCTTTATTGAGGATACTTCAGGGTAACAAAAACCAAATCTGGATTTAGATGGATTTTTTAGGCAAATTCTAACCAGTACTGTTAATCAGTCCAAAACTTAATACCCATGATACTTACTCATTACTAAGTCTAAATACCTTACAGAAAGCTTGAGTGTGAGGAGTTACGAATTTCAAGAGTATTCTTGATACCTTTATGATTTAAAAAATGTTCTTCCTATAGTTGGTAATTCCTGTTGCTTCTAATCTTGCATGTGAGCTCAGGACGTCTCTGACAATTTTATTAATCATAGTCTTCCTCTTAAATGTTTTATATTCTTTGCAGGAATACAAAACAAAATCAAATCTCAAAACCAGACATTGCTGTTTTTTCACTTTCCAGACAATTCTGATGCCGAGTACTATGATAGCATAAATATACAAATGCATCATATTATTACATTAGGCCCTGTAAGGGTTTTTATATTTTTAGTTTGTTTTCAGTTTAGTTTATTTTTTTGTATCAGGGTGGAAATACGTTTTCTTTGTTCCATGTGCATTTATGTCCTCTGTAACTATTGCTTAATCTTTTGTTTCTGCTCACATCACACCAATCTGAATTATTTATATAAATTGATTTGTATATTAGTGGACTCTTAATTCTTTTTAATACTAGGATCCTTTGATTTTTTCTTGGGGAGTTGTTGTCTTGGAAATAGTGTTTATATAAGAGCCCACTTGCCTACATTTGGAATTTGTACTGCAGTCTAATTCTCCTGTTGTTTTATTAATCTAGGCTGGCTGCCTGCCCTGCAACTTATCCGTCATGGCTCCAAATCTGTCACACGTCATTGGAAACCGATGCACATTATGAGGGAAAAGTTGATGGCAGTGACTGAATATATCCCACCAAAACCTCTGAATTCAGAGACCTGTATGAAGCCCCATGCCATTCTTGCTAAAGAAGTAATAGCATTCTTCTATTTTGGGATGGTTGGAATGATATAAATACTCATTTGTGATTAAAATTCTTGAAAGACTTTTTATACTTTGCCCTTCATAGTTCTGTCAATTGTGGAAAGGTTCATATTATTTCTTTCTATAATAGATAGCCACATTATTCTAATAATATCTAATGCTATGTTTCCTGCTGACCTTTGAGAAATAGCTAATTTGTGCTGCTATTCAACTGTAAAGCCATAAAGAATTTCATTTCATATCCTTGCTTATGCTCCACTAAAATCAGAAATCAGTTATGGCTATTCTACTCAGGTGTCTGAATTTAAATACTTTCCTCATCCTAGCTCAGGCATGTCAAACTTGTAACATTGCGCAACGTATTGGGACTTTTCCCCCATTGCCAGCAATGGGGTGGGCGCAGTTTCAGCATGATGCATCCAGCCCGTGGGCCGGCAGTTTGACATGCCTGTCCTAGATCATCTATATTTTAGTTATTTTCTTATTATGTTCAGGAAAACATTTGCTTGATTCAGATAGATTTAATTGAAAAGATCAGTATTGGTTTTCTCGATGTTTATTCAATTTGTTTTATAGAATTTTTCATTTATATAAATTGGACTTTGTCATACATGGCTTTATTGTTTAAGATATAAGCAGAATTGTGGATCAGAGATGAATGATAGAAATAACCCTATAAAGCCAATAGCACTACTGACATTCAAATAATATTGCTGGAGTTAACTTGCACTGATGACTCATCAAGGATACCCATTTTTGAACAATTGGCTAACAGCTATACTATACTAGTATTGTAAAGCAAAATTCAGTAAACTGAATATCTCAAATTTACTTCTATTTTAACTATGGAACTAAGACTGAATTTGTTTTTGTTGAACAGCAAGAACATCTATCTATCATATTCCCAACCAGATAGAAATTCTGCTTTCCTTTGTGATGGAATCACAGATGAATTGAGCAATTTAGTTTGTATTTGTTTGGCTTAATTCTATGCAATAAGTACCCAAAGTCTGAATTTTTCCACCTCCAAAATAGTGGTGGAATGTTCATGGATATGTTGTTTATTTAATTTTCAAATGGCAATAATTCTAATGAAGCTTATTTAAATCAAGTTTCTGAGCCTTACTAAGTTTGGACAGAGCTTTAAATAACATACACCTAAAGTAGATTGATAGCTTTAACTTAACTGATATCACAGAGAGAAAAAGCTAATTAAGTATAAAATAAATATTCTAATTTGCTTCTGAAAAAGTATGAATGGTCGTTATAATTCGAGGAACATTTTATTTTTATTGGTATACCACCTTTATTATTTTTATATAAACTCAAGGCAGCAAACCCATTCAACACAAATTTCTCCTCTAATTTTCTCCACAACAACCACCTTGTGAGGTAAGTTGGGCTGAGAGAGTGTGACCATTTTACCTTGGTAAATACATCAGAATTTATGTTTCTGAAATCTACTGGTCTTTTGGAACTATGGAATAGAATATTTTAGAGTTTTTATTGTCTGTATTTTCAAGATTGCAAATCCATTTTTCTCTCGTGCAGGAGACTGGCTATGAAAGACTGTTATTGCGTCAAGTGAAACAAATATTCCTTGAGAATAAAATGATTGTTGTGTGCCAATACAATTATATTCCTGGAAATGATATGGTATTATTCAGGCATCGGCTGCGAAAATATAATATCCATGTCAAATTTTTTCCCAATAAGGTATAGTTTTCTGTATTAATAGTCTTTCAGAAATATAGCATTGTAATAGTGTGTGTAGTAAAGCTTTTTTTTCTTTTGCTCTTTGATTTGTAAAAAATAAAATCTTTGTTTAGACTTAAATATTTTGCCTTCCCAGAAGGATCAGCCAATGAATTCTAATTTTTTTTTAAAAGTTTGTATAGAAACAATGTGCCAAAGGAATGTATGCTCTTTGTTTAATACATTGTCAATGACTTATTAAATGATAATTTAACTGATCAATAGCTAGCATAATCAGATTGTATGGTTGTACAATTTTATCTCTTAACTCTTGTTGCTTTGTTGTTCTTTGTTGTTCTTGATGTCTTTCTCTTTTTTCTTTCTGTTGAAGTTGGTATGATTTTATTGGTAGAGTTGTAAGAGGTCCTATTTGCCATTTAAAAGTTCACGTGCACAGGGAGAAGGGTTATAGTTTCAGTATATTCTATTTCTGTGAACGAAAAGTAGAATTTGTTATAGCTCAGTCATACCCATATGAAATTCTATGTGGTGTACTTTTTTTTTATTAAAAGTTTTAGAAATTTTTTACAATATATAACCCAAAACCCTCCCTCCCTCCCCCACTGATTACAAGGTTACAAATAAACAATCATAATTTAACTAACATTACCCAACTCTACTAACAATCAAATCCATAACATACTTTAACTCCTTTTTCAAAACAAATATTAACAAATTAAAAATAAAAATAATAATACAGTTAAACCATAACACTAAAAATAGTATAAATTTAATCATTAAACTATTAACAATAACCTAAAATCTACTCGTAAGCAAGATAATACTTTTCAGTCTCATATTTCTTTTGAATATAATCAATCCATCTTCTCCAAACCGAAATGTATTTTTCTTGTGAATGGTCCTTCAAATAAGTGGAAATTTTCGCCATTTCTGCTAAGTTAGACACCTTAAGTATCCATTCTTCCATAGTAGCCAAAGAATTTTTCTTCCAATTTTGCCCCACCAATAATCTTGCAGCTGTTATAAGATTCAACATCAAATTAATTTCTTTAACATCAAAATTAACCGTAATACCCAACAAAAATAATTGTGGAGTAAACTTTATCTTTCTCTTAAAAATCTTTTGAATATTCCACCAAATCTTAATCCAAAAAGCTTTTATATCTCTACAAACCCACTAAATATGAAAATAAGTTGCATCTGAGCTTCCACATCTCCAACATTTGGGCTGTAAATTAGGATACATGCGGGACAACTTTTGGGAGTCCAAATGCCATCTATAAAACATTTTATAAAAATTTTCTCTTAAATTTTGCGCTTGAGTAAATTTTACATTTCTAACCCAAATTGTCTCCCATGTATCCAATAAAATTGGTTCTTGAATATTTTGAGCCCATTTAACCATACAATCTTTAACTAACTCCATTTCAGAATCTAATTCTATTAAAACATTATAAATTCTCTTTATTTGGGCTCGAGTTTGATCTTTAATCTGTTTTACCAAATTCACATCCTCTAAAGCAGTGGTTCTCAACCTGTGGGTCGGGACCCCATTTGGGATCGAACGACCATTTCACGGGGGTCGCCAAACAAGGCTGTCCGCCATTTTTTTCCCCTTTTCTTTGGCCACGCCAAAGTATAAGTGGTTGGGGGTCACCACAACATGGGGAACTGTATTATGGGGTCACGGCATTAGAAAGGTTGAGAACCACTGCTCTAAAGTAAATCCAACCTTTTGATCTAAAGTCCACCTCCCTAACAATTGATTATACTGAAACCAAGAGTATACAATATTTTCTTGCTTCAGCTCAGTTAAAAATTTTAATTTTCAATCCTTCCCTGCCAAACTAAGTAATTCCTTATAAGAAATCCTATCCAAATTCACACCCCTAGATATTCCCTCTATCGTGTGTCCAGGAATTCCCCAAATTGGAATTTTATAATTTAACCTATAATAATACTTCTTCCAGACACGGAACAAAGCACTTCTCAAGATATGGGATTTAAAAACCTGGTCCACTTTTTTTTATCATAAATTAGATAAGCATGCCATCCATATATTAAATCCCATCCCTCAGGAGAAAGGATATTTTTATTTGTTAAATTGAGCCAATCATTAATCAGCGTTAAAGCCACCGCATCATAGTACAGTTTTAAATTAGGTGCCTTAAGTCCTCCTCTTTCCAGTACATCTTGTATAATCTTAAACTTAACTCTTGTTTTTTTCCCATATAAACATATTAATCCCCTTCTGCCATTCCTCCAAGTTAGCATCTTTTTTCAAAATAGGTATCATTTGTGACAAAAAAAGAAACTTTGGAAGAATATTTATTTTAACTGCTGAAATTCTTCCCAACAAAGATAACTGTAGGTTTTTCCAATCATTTAAATCCTTTTGAACTTTTGCCCATAATGTCTCATAATTATTTTTATACAATTTAACATTAGAAGCTGTAATATATACTCCTAAATATTTAATCTTTCTCACTATTTCAAAACCTGTTAATTTAGCCAAAATATCCTTTTCCTTCATAGACATATTTTTCGATAATATTTTAGTCTTAGTATTATTTAAAGCCAGAAACCTTGCCATACTGAGTTAAAATTTCAACCAAATCCCTAACTGAATCTATCGGTTGAGATAATGTCACAACCAAATCGTCAGCGAAAGCTCTCAACTTATAATCATTCTTATTTATTTTTATTCCCTTAATTCTAGATGATTCTCGAATTTTAATAAGTAAAATCTCCATAGTTAAAATAAATAACAATGGTGATAAAGGATATCCCTGTCTAGTACCCTTTTCAATATTAAATGCATCTGTTAATCCCCCATTAACTATAATTTGTGCAGATTGTTGTTGATATATAGCCTTAAGAGCATACAAAAATTTATCCTCAAAGTTAATTTTCTCTACCACTCTCAGTAAAAATTGCCAATCTAATTGATCAAACATTTTTTCAGCATCCAAAAAAATCAAAGCCGCAGGGATTTGGTTGTTCTTGTCTAAATACTCAATTAAATTAACAATTTGTCTAACATTATATTTCATGTATCTTCCAGTTATAAATCAGATTGATCACTATGAATCAAATGCTTCAAAACTTGCATTAATCTATTTGCCAATATTTTTTGAAAAAAAATTATAATCTGTATTCAATAGAGATATAGGTCTATAATTCTTAGGCTGAGTCAAATCCTGATCCTCCTTTGGGATCAATGATATAAATGCCCTTCTCCAAGATGGAGGTACCTCTGCTCCTAACAGAATATTATTAAAAAGTTCCTTCAATGGTTCTATCATTTCTTCAGATAACATTTTATAATAAATTGCTGTTAATCCATCTGTACTTAGAGCCTTACCAACCTTTAATTGCTTAATTGCTCAAATGATTTCTTCAGAAGTAATTAAACCATTCATCTCATCTCGTTGATCATTTGAAAGTCTAGGAAAATGTGCTTCCTGTAAATACTTTTCTATATCTGAAACTTGTATACTTTCGCTGGCATATAACTTTGAATAAAAATCTAAAAAACTCCTTTTAATCAAATTTTGTTGATATACTTTACCTTTGTAATTTATTTTCTCTATAAACCTTAATTTCTGTTTCTTTCGTAGTTGGTAAGCCGACCACCTACCAGCTTTATTTGCATTACAAAATGTATTATGTTTCATATACCGCAAATTAATTGCAATCTGATCAGCTATTAACATATTAAATTGCTCCTTAAGCATAGTTATAGAAACCTTTAAATTATTGTCCAGTGGATTTAAAACAAGAGCCTTCTCCTTACATTTAATCTCTTCTTCCAAGTCTTTATGTTTCTGCATCTGTTTGCACTTATACACATTGTTCATATAAATCAAAACCCCTCTCATGTATGCTTTACTTGCATCCCACATCATTGGCATCGAAGTACCCTTATGCATATTTAAAAGAAAAAATTCCTTTAAATAATTTCTACATTTCTTTAAATTCTCCTCATATCTAAATAAATTTTCATTCAATCTCCAAGTCCTTCTATTCCCATCTTCAATAGATAGCTCCAACCATACAGGACTATGATCTGAGAATATTCTAGGAAATATCTTGGCATTCTTCACCCTAGAAAAAATATCATTAGTAATTAAAAAAAAAGTCAATTCTGGAATACGATTGGTGCCTATCTGAAAAAAAAGTGAAGTCTCTTTCTTCAATATTCCGTTCTCGCCAAATATCTCTAAGTTCCAGATCATCCTTCAAATCAAAAAAAGCTTTAGGTAGTTTTGCATGATTGGAAGATTTGTAAGAACCCTACTTGTCTTTACTTGAGTTTAAAACACCATTCCAATCTCCCATCATAATAACTGATTTATAATCCAATTGAGTTAGTTTCTGATGTATCATCTTATAAAAGTATTTTTGTTGTTGATTAGGAGCATATAATCCAATGATAAGACATCTCTTACCATTTAATAATAAATCAATAATAACATATCTTCCTTGTGGGTCAGAGTCAATTAACTTCGGCGATAAATCTTTCCTCACATAAATAACTACTTCTTTTTTCTGCGGAGCAGAGGCTGAAAAATGTACTCCCAGCCGAGAGTTAATCAAATACTTTTGGTCCTTTAATGCAACATGAGTCTCTTGCAAACATATAACATCATTCTTGTGTGGTTTCAAATAATGAAATACTTTCTTTCTTTTCTGTGATGAATTCAAACCATTAACATTCCATGTCAGGAACTTGGCCATCTTTAGTAACTTGAAGCCTACGGAACACTGCATGTAAGTCTGCAGTCGATGACCTCTTCAGTCTTGTTCCTCCCACTGGTTCAGAGGTAGCCACTTGTGTTGTAACTCCAACCACTACCTTTTGTTGTTCTTTTTCTCTACGTTTATGGGCTGCACCAGTCATTCTCTGTTCCCTTGGGTCTTCTTTTATCTCCAAACTCTGCTGCATAGATTCAACCAACAATTCTTCTCCTACTAATGACATTGCTCCTATAGCCAACTGTCCTTCAGACTTGCCTTCATTTCTTTTAGATCGTGGAGACTGTGGTGCACCTGCCTTCAAAACAGAAACATAAAAATCTCTTGCTTTTAAAATTGTATTAAGTCTATAACGTGTACCAACATAATTCACCACAATTCCAACAGATACATCCCATCTGAATTGAATCTGTCATTTCTTAAGCTCCTCAGCCAAAAAAGCAAAATCCTTTCTTTTTCTAAGAATTTTTGGAGGTATTTCTTTTAGAATTATAACGTCTTGAGCTGCAATTTGAAATCTTTGCTTATAAAAAGCCTGTATAATTTCATTACGAAGTGATCTTCTGGAAAAATAAATAACCACATCTCTTGGTAAATTCCTCTGCCTCGCAATCCATGAATTAACTCTAAAAAAATTTTCTATCTCTTTCAACATTTCTTCAAATTCACATCCCAAAATGGAGGCTAATTCTGCTGCAATTTCTTCTTTCAAATTCTCTTGCACATTCTCCTTCAACCCTCTTATTCTCAAAGCATATTCCATATCTCTGTATTGTGACATAATTTCATTCTGTGCTGCATCAACATTATTTTCAACTTTTTCAACTCTGTCCTCTAATCTTTCAACACTTCCCACCACCTCATCCACACGGTCGTCGAGGCGTTCTACGTGAGCTGCAAGTCCCTGGAGAGCCAGCACAATATCTTCCCTCATCTCATTATTTTTCTGCTCCCAAAGCTCTGCTGTCTCATGTTTAATCTTTTTTGCAGTTTTCTCCAAAGCATCCTGTAAAACATCCTGTATATCTTTAAGTGTGAGAGCCTGAAATGGGGGAGAGGGTGGAGGAGACTTAGACTTTGATTGCTGAACAGTCTGGATAACTGGAGAAGAAATTGAGCCTTTAAGAAGAGAAGAAATTCCAGGACGTTTCCTTAGCCGCCCGTCTTGAGATTGTGTAAAAGCCAGCAAAGACAGTGAATATCAGCTGTTTTGCGGCTTGGAACCTTTCTTCCTGGGCGAAGGGAAGAAGGTGAGTTTTTTCCAGATAGAGGTCGAGCTCCTCTAGTCTCCCAAAGTTTTTTCTTTGGGAGACGAAGAGTGAGAGCTCCCTCGGAGTCTGGATCATCTCCACATCCCAGGACGCCTTTGTTCCTCGGAACAAAGCCAGACGCTGCTTCCACATCTGCTGCTTTAAGAGAATTGTAAGTAAAATTAAAAGCAGACAGAGCTATTCAGGAGGATCAGAACTGTGATGATCTGGAACTTTAACTCAAGAAAGAAGTAATATCTTCTCCATTTATTACTTTTAAAAAAAAGGAGGGAGGAAAAAATGGCGGAGGAATCCTGTTTTCTTTGTTTGAAAGGACATCGTTAAGAAAGACTTTCACTTTCATCTGGCAACGAAGTTTAAACATTGTAACAGACTTTACTTATTTAAAGAGTTAGTTTCTCTTTTCTTATGTATGGGGGATTTGTTTTTATTATCCCCTTATTTTATTTTGCTATAAGAAGTGGCTTTTTTTTTAAGAAAAGATGTGGTGGACTTATTTGATCCAGCACTGATTTGCTATATTGTTTCTTCTTGTTCCTTCAACTCTTCAATCTCCACAAAGGAGGACACTTTAATACAATAGGAAAACCTATTTGGGAGTCTCCAGGGGAAAAATGATCCCTTCTCTGTTCTGCTGTAATCTCTGTAATTATGATATTTTTTCAATGTAAGGACAATTCTGATATAATGCTTTTCTCCACTTTTCCAGATCATGATTCCCTTTCTTTTGGAATCTAAATACAAGAATCTCCTCCCTCTATTTGTGGAACGCAACCTTCTACTTGTCAGTATGGAAACAAAGGCTCGGGAAACACTACAAATCCTGAAGCGTGTGCCACAGATTAATATGTTAGGTAAGGGATGAGGTCTTAAAACTTTTTTGATGACAAAAAGTTTAGCAATCAGTAGTGGGATAGGTGGGATAAGCACTTTCTCCAATCTAAACATTGCTCATGTTTGTGGATTTTAACTCCCAGAGTTCTCACCAATGATTGAAAATTCTGGAAGTTGCAATGTATGTATCTGGCAGTATCCAAGGTAGACAAAATTCCTATGATGGAGTTAGATAACTGGAAAAGAAGCTATGGAAGAGGCAGATTAGTTAAGTACAGTTGAAATACTTGGAAGAGGCATGGCTCACAACTTACTTTATAGCCATAGGACAGGATATTTTTTTTAAAAAAAAATCTGGTGGTGGAAGCTGCTTATTTAAAAAAAAATCCTCAGAACTAGATCTAGAAGGGTGGTGGTTTTTGAGAAACACTACCCTTTCTTGTCAGCTTAATGACTAATGGGAAAATAAGCTGTCCCCAAGGGATTAAGCCTTTTTTTTCTACTTAGTCTCTAAGATAAAGTTGAATTCAAGAGACTAAGGGTGAAAAACTCTCCTTAGTTGTCTGTAGGATAACCTTCCCACAAGGAATTAGGGCGAAAAAAATATTCATTCCTTTTGTTGTTGTTGTTAATTGCGAAGTCATGTCCGATCCATTGCGACTCCAGGTCTTCCTGTCCTCTAGTAATAGTAATAGTAGTAAAGTTGGAAGGGACCTTGGAGGTCATCTAGTCCAACCCCCTGCTCGGGCAGGAAACCCTACACCATTTCGGACAAATGGCTATCCAGTCTCTTCTTAAAAACTTCCAGTGTTGGAGCATTTACTGCTTCTGGAGGCAGGCTGTTCCACTGATTAATTGTTCTCACTGTCAGGAAGTTTCTCCTTAGTTCTAGGTTGCTTCTCTCCTTGATTAGTTTCCACCCGTTGCTTCTTGTCCTGCCTTCAGGTGCTTTGGAAAATAGCTTAATTCCCTCTTCTTTATGGCAGCCCCTGAGATATTGGAATACTGCTATCATGTCCCCCCTTGTCCTTCTCTTCGTTAAACTAGACATACCCAATTCTCGCAACCGTTCCTTATATGTTTTAGCCTCCAGTCCCCTAATCATCTTTGTTGCTCTTCTCTGTACTCTTTCTAGAGTCTCAACATCTTTTTTACATCGTGGTGACCAAAACTGGATGCAGTATTCCAAGTGTGGCCTTACCAAGGCATTGAAGAGTGGTATTAATACTTCACGTGATCTTGATTCTATCCCTCTGTTAATGCAGCCTAGCACTGTGTTGGCCTTTTTGGCAGCTGCAGCACACTGCTGGCTCATATTTAAGTGATTGTCTACTAGGACTCCGAGGTCCCTCTCACAGTTACTACTATTGAGCATGGTGCCACCTATGCTGTACTTGTGCATTTGGTTTTTCTTGCCTAAATGTAGAACCTTGCTTTTTTCACCATTGAATTTCATTTTGTTAGTTAGTGCCCAGTGTTCAAGTCTGTCCAGATCCTTCTGTATCTGAAGCCTGTCTTCTGGAGTGTTGGCTATTCCTGCCAGCTTGGTGTCATCTGCAAATTTGATGAGTTCCCCATCTATCCCTTCATCCAAATCGTTGATGAAGATGTTGAAGAGTACTGGGCCCAGAACAGAGCCCTGGGGCACCCCACTACACACTTCCCTCCATATAGATGCAGTTCCATTGAGGACCACTCGCTGAGTACGGCCGGTCAGCCAGCTACGGATCCATCTGGTGGTGGTTCTGTCTACCCCACATTTTTCTATCTTGTCAAGTAGTAGGTTGTGATCTACTTTATCAAATGCCTTACTGAAGTCCAAGTAAATTATGTCCACAGCATTCCTCTGATCCACTAATTTTGTCACTTGGTCAAAGAATGCAATAAGATTTGTCTGGCATGATCTATTTTTGACAAACCCATGTTGGCTTTTAGTAATGACTTTGTTTGCCTCTAGGTGTTCGTTGATTCGTTGTTTGATTATCTTTTCCAGGATCTTCCCAGGTATTGAGGTCAGGCTGATAGGTCTGTAATTTCCTGGATCCATTTTTTTTCCTTTTTTGAGGATGGGAACTACATCAGCTCTTTTCCAGTCCTCTGGTAGTTCCCCTGTGTTCCAGGATCTTTGAAAAATATAGTTCAGTGGCTCCGATATCACATCTGCCAGTTCCTTGAGAACTCTGGGGTCCATTTAAGTTCACACCTACTGCTTCAGTGACTCCATCCAGCCATCTCATTCTCTGTCGTCCCCTTCTTCTATTGCCCTCAATCTTTCCCAGTATTAGGCCCTTCTCCAGTGAGTCCTTCCTTCTCATTAGGTGGCCAAACTATTTGAGTTTCAACTTCAGGATCTGGCCTTCTAAAGAGCAGTCGGGGTTGATCTCTTCTAGGACTGACCGGTTTGAACGCCTTGCAGTCCAAGGGACTCGCAGGAGTCTTCTCCAGCACCATAGTTCAAAGGCCTCAATTCTTTGGCGCTCAGCCTTTCTTATGGTCCAACTTTCACAGCCATACATTGCAACTGGGAAAACCATAGCCTGTTTTTTCCTTACAGAGTTGCTTTTTTCCTTGGTCTCTTGTGAAGAGAGGTTTTGTTGTTCTCTTAGTCCTCTGGAACTAAGGTTCCTATAGAACCTTTCAAGTATTTCAATAAAAAAAAAAAAACTAGTTGCCTCTTTTGAGCAAATATGATTGTGTGACCAATTTTATTTATTTAATGTGTTTCTAAACTATTTTTAGATAAAACATTTGTGCATTCTGTTTTCTTCTGGTCACATTTAGTCACCACCTTTTATAATTCTACATCTCTGTTTGGAAATAAAATGTAAAATTTAAATTTTACAATTTTCTAGTTTATTTTTTTAAAACAAACCAGACTTCTCCTGTGATCTCTTGTGTCATCCTTTCAGAGATATTTCCTTACTAGATTTCTCAATTTCTTCAAACATGACAGCTTGCCATGAGAAGTAGTGGATGCTTCATCACTGGAGGTTTTAAGAAGAGACTGGACAGTCACTTGTCTGAAATGGGATAGGGTCTTCTGTTTGAGTAGGAGTTCGGACTAGAAGAACTCCAAGGTCCCTTCCAGCTCTAGTCTGGTTGATTGATTGATAAAGTTTCTAATGTACTCTCTTCACTGGAAAAGTTGAGATATGTTCCGAGATGTATCTGTCTTGAAAATAGCCCATGTTGAATTGTATGACACAGTGAAACATCAGCAGACGAAATCTTTTATGACCTTTTGTATTTTGTCATAAATTGTTTTACAATAATGCTTATGTCAACAATGACTTATAAAATTTGCCAAATTTCAATTCCACAGGATTCATGTATCCTGGATTTTGGACATTTTTGTAAGGTACACTATTTAAAGTACCTTGGTTCAAAACATTTTGCCCTATAATATACTGTTATGCCCAGTTAATGGTTACAGGAAAGAGAGTTTTAGTAATATATAGATTTCTGTCCTAGCTTGAATGTTTTTATTTCATTTTTTTTCAGGAGCTTGCATCGACAACATCATCTTAAGCAAACAAGGCTTTGTAAATTATGCTAAGCTGCCATCTATAGTAATTGCCCAGGGAGAAACTGCAGGTGTATTCTCACTCATGATGTCCAACACTAGCAGAGTTCTGCAGCGTAGCTCTGTTCATCTCAGTTCGTTGCTGGACCAATATGTTCAACAGGAAAATGAAAAAGTTGAAGAAAAAGCGGATAGGAACATGAGCTAAACTGGAAGCAATTTAATTCTTCAGTGTAAAATGGCCATGTTTACTTCATTGCATGCCTGTGAGTTTGTGGGAGGGGTTAATTAGTATGATTGATAAAATTCTATCAGCTAGACCACATAGAGAAAAAAAGCTGCAGAGCTAGACAATGAACAAGGAATTTTATTGACTACTTATATAATAGTATACATTTGTGGAATTTTACTGTATATGGAAGATCATAAGTATTATCATTTAAATCAAACGTGCAGGTGCAGTACATTTTTAATATGAACATTTTATTAATTTGCATAATTTTCTGCTTTAGATTGGGTAAGAAACAGACTTTAATAGGAGCGTATGTATTTATTTTAGGCTGTTTATCATAACTTACCAAAATAGATTAGTTTGACAAAGTAAGTTTTAAGAACTGAATTAAAAACAAAATAAAAACAATCTTCCAGGCCATTCAAAATAAAATAATATTGAAAACATGTAAGTTAACAACAAACTATTTACTCTTGCACCAAACTGCACATAATTTTTATCAGTGTTTTTAAGAACCTAGTATGAATAATAACTTTATTCTGTGATGCCAACCAGCTGTTCTTGAAAGGGCAGATTTTTTCCCACTTATGGTACATTATTATATGATAAATGAATAGAAATTACAATAATTTTAGTGAGAAATAGGTTGTTTTGCATCACTTTCAGAGTTTAGTTATTTGGGAGGGGATTCCAATTGTCAGGTTCAATTAAATTATACAATGTAGGATTAGAAAATAGTGTTAGAAAAAAAATAAAGGTTGAAATAGTTTGCTGAATAAGAAAACTTTTTTTGACATAAGCATCTTGAATATATAAGAAAACATAGAAAAAAGATACATAATTTTTTGTTATAGTACAATGTGTTTGAATAGAAATTACTCAGGATAAATAAAGCATGTATGATCAGCAGATAGCCATCCATTGCTTTCCATCTTTTAAATGCTTGTGTAGGATGAATGTCCTTATTTGGTTAAATAACCATTAAAATGCTTCAGAAATGTGGATTCATAGTAGTTATATGTAATGGATTTTAGCTTAAATTAAGCATGTATAATTATTAAGGTAGGGAAATAAATATGCTTGTTTGCAAGATATTTTATAAATAAAAATGTCTTCAATTATCTAAATGAAATAATCCTGAGATCAAGCTGCATTGTCCGCTAAGAAGATTTTTAAATTTAGTAATTTAACTAAATTTAGCAGACAATGTAGCTTGAATAAAATATTTTATTCTGTTTTAATAACATTTTCTCAGGAAATATGAAAATTCAAGATATGATATAAAGTTTGTGTCTTCCTATGATATTAATTATTGAGTTGAAACCATGCTTAGCCTGTTTCTGAATAAATGACAACTAGCTTGGTTTCTTGTTGTTCTTCATTGACTATGTCATGTTTGACTCCTTGTGACCCCATAGACCACAGCATGCCAGGCCCTTCTATCTTCTACTGTCTCCTGGAGTCCACCCAAACCCATGCTTACTGCGTCAGTGACAGTCATTCTCTGCCATCCCCTTCTTTTGCCTTCAAATCCTTCCCAACATTAGGTCATTTCCAATGAGTTCTTTTTTCTCATTTGATAGTCCAAGTCATTTGAGCTTCAGCTTCAGTATCTGTCCTTCCAAGGAATAATCAGGGTGGATTTCCTTTAGGATTGATTGATTGAATCTCCTTGCAATCCAAGGGACTCTCAAAAATCTTATCCAACACCACAATTCGAAAGCATCCATTTTTCAGCTCTCAGCCTTCCTTATGTTCCAACTTTCACAGCCATATATTACTCCTAGGAAAACCATAGCTTTGATTATATGGACCTTTGTTGGCAAGTTGATGTCTCTGGTTTTTGATATGCTGTTTGCCATAGCTTTTCCAAGGAGCAAGTATCTTTTAATTTCAAGGTTGCAGTCACCATCTGCAGTGATCTTGGAGCCCAAGAAAATAAAATCTTCCATTTCTTTCCCCTTCAATTTGCCAGGAAGTGGTGGGACTGGATGCCATGATCTTAGTTTTTTTTTTTTTTTTAATCTTGAGTTTCAAGCCAGCTTTTGACACTCTTCTCTCACCCTCATCAAGAGGCTCTTTATTTCCTCTTCACTTTCTGCCATTAGAATGATGTCTGTATATCTGAGGTTGTTGTTATTTCTCCCAGCAATCTTAATTCTGACTTATGATTGTCCAGCCAACATTTTGCATGATATACTCTACATATAAATTAAATAAGCAGACTGACAATATAGCCTTGTCATACTACTTTCCCTATTTTGAACCAATCATTTGTTTCATATCTGGTTCTAACTTGCTTCTTGAGCCATGTAGACGTTTCTCATGAGATAGGTAAGATGTTCTGGTACTCCAATCTCTTTAATAACCTGCCACAATTTGTTGTGATCTACACAATCAAAGCCTTTAGCATGGTCCACGAAGGCAAGTAGATTTTTTCTGGAATTCCCTTGCTTTCTCCATAATCCAGCAAACGCTGGCAATTTGATTTCTTGTTCGTCTGCCCTTTGAAATCCAGATAGTTCTAGAAGTTTTGATAAATTTTGAGCATGATCTTACTAGCATGTGAAATGAGCGCAACTTTATAATAGTTTAAACATTCCTTGGTGTTGCCCTTTGGGATTGGATGTAAATTGACCTTTTCTAACTCTGGCCATTCTTGAGTTTTCAAATTTGCTGGCATATTGAGTGCAGCACAGCATCATCAATTAAGATTTTAAATAGCTGAGCTGGAATGCCATCACTTCCTCTAGCTTTGTTGTTGGTAATGCTTCCTTAGGTCCACTTGATTTCGCATTCCAGCATGTCTCACAGCTGGTACACAAACCAGAGTTGTGCAAAAAGCTCTCCTAGTCACACCTGCCACCTGCTCTTCAGACAGGAGACATGAGTCCAGGAAAATCCCTTGGTTGCAAACTGGGTCTGAATGGTGTTATGCAACTATGTCCAGAACTAAGAATAACAAAAAATTGGATCCTGAAGCTCCATGCTGTTAAAACCATTCAGTCTTTCCAAAGTTTGTTCTTCTCTACCCAGCTCTCTACAGTCTCCAGTGAGAGAGCAGAGACATCATCACTTGAATCATCATGTGTAGAGATGTAGAACTGAGTATAACCAACACATTGATGAAATCTCAACCAGTGATAGATGATCTCACATAATAGCTTCATATAAATGTTAAAACAGAGAGAATATGGAGCCCTGTGGGATGCTACAAGTGACCAGGGCTGTCCTATAGTTGGTCTGAATCCTGACAGAAAAGGGCCCAGGAAATCTGTTTCATCCAGGATTTCCTGAAGCTGCTCAGCAACTACCTTTTCTATCACCTTCCCCCAAAAAAGGAAGATGGGAGATTGCATGAAAGTTGTCTAGGCAAGAGGGGTTGAGTGACTTTTTTTAAAGATAGAACAAACCAGGATATTCTTAAAAAGTCCCAGAAATGTCCCCTTTTGCAGTGAAGAATTTATCATTGCATGATAAATGGTGGTCACCCTCCTGGAAGCTTTCACCAGCCAGGAATAGAGCAGTGGTGAGATTCAGCCAGTTTGCACCACTTCGGCAGAACCAGGTAGCTAATTTTTTGTTGCCCAGGTCCAGAATGGACTTCCGGAAGCAGCATCCACAGAGAACTGGTTGTTCACATATTTGAATCCCACCACTGGACAAGAGTCTAATTGACTGGTAGTTCAGAGGACCCTATCCACTTCCTTAGGTCCAACAGGGACAAACTGTTCCAAAATTATTGGGCATCTCATAAGGACCAGCCAAGGGTTGTAAGTGAAAATGAATCCAAGCAATGTTATCCAACAGGTTCAACAATTTTTTCTGTATGGCCCTGAAGATAATAGTCTGAGCCCTGGTCTAGGAGTGATAGAGTGATCCAGAACAGGGCCAATGGATGATAGTCTGCGGATGCAATAAGACCAGTTTTGTTTTTCTGTTTTAATAATCATAAAACAAGCCTTAATAATTAATGTTGATAAATGAAGAAATCAAAGAATTAGGTTAGTTCCTTGTGTTGGTTGGTTCCTAGTGTTGCTAGTTCAAATATATTGTGCAGTGACTTTTTGTATTCCTTAATGTTTTTTATTAATGTTTTTTTCTAAAAAAAAGAGTGATGGATACAATAGGAAACTGAAATTTTAAATAAAGAACGATGCTATCTGGTGCACTTGTAAAATGTTATGAATAAGGCAGGCTAATTGTACCATCAAAGCCTGCCTGGCTAATCCCAGTTGTATGAAATTCTGGCAGATGAGCCAGATTTACTATCAGAATAACTGAGATTGGTAAATGATATATTTAATATATTGAAAATGGTTTAGCAAATCTTTATTACAGACAAGCCCCATTATCTTACATAAAAATAGCTTGTGAATACATTTCATTTAAAATTCTGTCTAGAAAATATAGTTGGATAATGCCAACATTGTAACAGTTCTTTGCAATAATTTCTGAACAGATCCATTTTTGTTGAATTCGCATGAATAAACCTGAATCTATTTTGTCAGAAGGCTAAAGTATTTCTCATGCTTTATACAGGTTAAAGGGAAAAATAATAAACTAATTGTTAATTCTTCAACATACACATTTGATTTCTTCGTGTATAAATAAATTATCTCCAAGGCTAATTATTAAATTTATTGAACGAGCTTGGCTTTTTTCGTTGTACTTTTCAGAAGCATTTAATTATTTAAAAATTTTCTGGTAAATATGGTAAATGAAAACACCGGGGATGAAAGAATGAAAACTTTTGGGTTAAGAAGATACCAAAATATTGTACATTTTCTAATATCAATGTATCATTGTCACTAAGCGGCTTGCAAACTTTCCAGCACCGCTTCGCTTGAAGTTCTCTAATTACGAAATTCTGAGCGATCGCAGATAAAATATCCTTCAACATTCCATTTTGGACCATATATAAGAGCCATAAGGGTCTCTTGGAGTTTTTTTTTCTCTCCTAGCAAGAATTTTGCCCAGGATGTTTAATGAGCCAGTCCTCCAAGAGGCACGGTGGCAGATGCGAGCGAAGAGCAGAAAAGATAAAGTAACAAGAGTTGGACAGCGAAAGGAAGCGGCAGAAGTGGATTTCTTTCGGCTTTGCTCGGCAGCTGCTTCCTGGTTCCGGTTTGCAGCGGCAATAACTGTCCGTTGCTGTAAGAAGCGCAAAGGAAGAGCGTATGAGGCAAGCCTCGCAGACGCGTGCAGGTAAAAAAAAAAAAGTATCTTCCTCCTTCCTCTCCCTCTTCCAGTTGGGTTGGGATGTATTTATCTGCACCTTGTTTCAGAAACGGGGGGGCAAGAATAGTGATTTTGTGGTAGGCTTGCTCGGCCCCGGGAACAAAAGGGTCTGCCTTCTGTTTTTTATTTGGGTGGGTTGTTAACCTGGAAGAAACAAACGAATCGGAAGATTGGGGTGAGATTGTGGAAATCGAATTGTAGTCGACTTTATCAAGCCTGTCCTGGAATCGTAGATCATTATAGCAAGAAAATTTAGAGAACGTTGTCACTAGGACAAAAAGTTGGAGGTTCTAAGGAAAACTCCATAGCAGTTACAGTAGTTCTTCTTTTTCCTTTGGCAAATAGATACAGAATGTAGAAAATACTGCGTAAACCTGAGGATTGTGACATAGCATTGGAGGGGGAACATAAGTTTCAATTACTCGGGAGACATTTCTTTTCTAACAAAAAAGTGCTGTTGACATTTAAGTGTATGGACGGATTTTGCCCCTATTAAAAAGGAGACCTGTGAAATAATAATTTATTACTGCTTTCCAGGGGGATAATTGAGATGAATTATGGGAAATGGTGGATTTTGACTCTTAATAGGCAATAAGAAAGGGTGGCTGAGTCCGATGTCTCTTTAAGATAAGTGAAATGTTATCTGAAGGATTTTGCCCTGTTAAGAAGATGAGAATGTACTGAGACTTCTGAGTCAGAGATAGATGAGTGGTAGACTTTTGACCTTTTGCATAAAAGAGGATGTGGATTTGTGGTGAGAGATGTTGAAGAAGAAAGGTGGGATGATCATTTGAGTTCTGAAGAAGAAAGGTGGGATGTCATTTGAGTTCTGCTATGTGACATAGAGTATATGGAAAGTATATGGCAAGTACATGGCTATGTGACATACAGTGATTGGAAAGGAAATATAAGACAACAGCTATGCTTTTATGTAAAGTCCCTGATTAAAGACCCTAGTTTATCTAGGGCTGCCATATCTGAGCTGCAAAAAATCAGGATAACTACTAGATGGCAGCAAAGAGTTTCTGTTTATTTTATTTTATTTATTTTATTTATGAGACTTATATACCGCTTTAAGTGCAAGCACTCTCTAAGCGGTGTACACCAGTAAGCAATGTGTATG